CTTAAAACAAATAGGCCTAGCTCGGCCCAACTCTAAGCATGCAAATTACCTTCTCAATTATGGTTTAAATGTGACACTCAATCTAATTGATTTTTTAATTTATTTTATTTTTTAATAAATTAAATTAGTCCTAACTCCCTTAATGAACGAAATCTTAATCTCGAGTTGGATGAGCGCGCTGAAAAAAGCAACTTGTACGGTTGAAACTCAAGACCTCATGTGCTTGCCTCTTTCCACCAAACCAACAATCATCTTGTTAAATAATAATAGAAATATTTTGTTTATTGTATTCTATTACTATAACTAACATATTTACAAACAAGATCAATATAAAAATAAATATTTAAACTCATATATTTGATATATAAATATATATTTTACATTTAATATTTATATTTATTTAACTATGATTTTTAATATATTTATTGAGTAATTATAACATCACGATTTGATTCGATTTGACAATGTATGTGAAAAAATAATTGACAATTGTAATCATCATTTGTTAAAAAAAGAAAAAAAAAGTAAATAAAAGGAGAAAAAAAAATTGAAAAAGATACAAAATTAAAAAAACCAAAGCAATTACATATGCATGACATACGTTTGTATAATTTGTAATAGAATAGATATTCTTATGATGTGAGGATGTGAAGATTGAGGGCAAATAAGCAATGAAGAGATCTTGGTCATACAAAATTGATGACTAAAGCCAACATGTCATTCTAGCCTTTATTCAAAAAAATAAAAATAAAAATACAAATAAAAAGAAAAGGTTGACTATGCGTTGGACTTCATTGATGACACAAGAGGATTTAGGCTCCAACAGCATATATTTAACCATCAAGATTTGTCTAATGTAAAGTTATATAGCCAACAACAGGCACTTATTATGTTCATTGTACTCGGCCACTAATGTGACCCCCACTTATTTGTATAATCACCCATCAAACCTTTTTTGTGTTATATTTTCTACATGGCCATGACTTTCTGGCCTACTAGTTTTCATGTAGGTCCATCTATTAGAATAAGGATAAATTACACTAACACCGTCAAGTTTCTATGTAATATATATTTTTTTCACGTTTGAAAAATTACACTTACCTTATTATCAGATTAAAATGACATATTTATTACTCAATTTTATACATATAAACTAATAAAATAATACTGATATTTTATTCATGTCATTTTAAAAGAAATAACAACCATCTTCTTTAATTTAACTCACACGATATTCTCCTTTTTTTTTTGTATTTTTTTTACTATTTTTTAAAAATATTTTAATTAATTTTTTAATTTTTTAGACACACCTAATCTAGATATACTTAAAAAGTATAATATTTTGTGATTTTTTTTAAATTCACCAAATACAAAAAATCAATAATACTGTAATAAAATGTGAATGACGGTGTTTGGTAATATTGTCATAAATGTGGTGAATAGAATATAAAGAAAAATGATGGTAGAAATAAAAAATGAAAAATTCTATTCATATATAAAAATTTATACAAAAAATGTCATAAAAATTGTGATAGTGATGTTGTTGTAATTATAAATCATGTGTATGGATGTTTTGTTTAAAGTGAAAAGTCACTATTAAGCTATATCATTGTATTTAAAAATTTTATATAAAATTTATTTTTGTATATCATTACTCAATAAGAATATGTTTAGACAGAATTTAATGACAGAAAGTTATAAAATATAATCACGATGATAGGAAAAATGGCAAAATGATCATTTATTAAGGTATAACATCAGCAATTCAGGAATAATTTGCAATGATATTACAAATTTCAAAGAGAAAAATGTAATTTTTCAAACGTGAAGGGAAGATTTGTATTAAATAGAAATCTCATGAGTGTCAGTGTAATTTACCCTAGAATGAATCTAGTTCATGCCTAAATTTTTTTGGATTAAAATTCTCTGGAATAATATATATTTTTAATTGTGTTTTGGACTTAAATTACTATTGATTGTGCTTTGAACTTAAATCAAATACTTAAAACTACTATAACAAGATTATTGCAAGAATAATTATAATAAAAAAATTTAATCCACTCCCTTCAACCCTCATGCACATGTGAATCTCCTCTCATTGGAGCTCTACTAAAGTACACACACAAGTATGTACATTGGTAGAAAGCATCTAACGATACATCTCCCACTAATATTTCAAATCTTAAAGATAAAAGAAAAATGCTTGGGAGCACTAATTAGTGCTCCCACTAATTAGGTGGCAGTGGGTCCCGTCATTAATGATGTGATGTTTTGGTTTTGGAATTGTGTTTTTTTTTTTTTTTTTACTTTTTTAATGCATTAATGCTATTAGTGGTGATGTTTTTAGTGGGATGAATCATTGTTGAAGATAAAGTTAGCACTTTAATAAACTCAAAAATCGAAGAACCAAATAGCTATGTAGCATTTTGACATGGTCTCTCCTATGTCAAATTTGGCATATGATAAAATTGATGCAAATTATTATTAATTTGTTTATTTCTTTATTTAGCAAGATTTACCGTAATGCGGGTTCTTATAAAAACTTGGCATGCAAATCTAACAAAATTAAAGTAAAAAATATAATAAAATAATAAATTTAACACATCAAATTGAATATTTTCTTTTAGAAATGTCAAATTTACATATATATGTCAATTTTCCTCTTAAGCCTTCATTTTTTTTTATTTTAATATACCAATATTTAAAAGTTTTGGTAGAAATACTCTTAAACCCACTGAGCTTTATCTCTCAAATTCTTAGTTAAATTTTTTTTTTCCTTCTAATATTTATTTTTAGTGCATTGCGCTTCATGGGCAATATTTCAAACAAATATGACCCAGGGTCAGGTTCAACAACCCAAAAAAATCAAATAAAAAAATAATAAAAAAATACTGCATCTGCACGCTAATGTGCCTAGAAAAAAAAAATGAAGAAAATATATGGCCTTAAAGTTATATAATTGTTATCTTGAGCTCAGCATCATATTTTAACAAATGCTTAAAAAACTAATTTTGTTCTTATCAAAGCTTAGTTTATTTTATTATTTTTGTATATAAATTTGGCCAATTTTATTTGGCTCCATTCTCTTGGTCAATGCTTGAGAGGTGCCCTAGAAACTTACCTTATAATTTTATTTTATTTTAGTCTCAACCAAGCCGACATATTTCTTTTAAAAATAATAATAATGTTATCTTTTTGAAGAAAACAATTTAATCTAAAAACAAATATAGTAGTGTGTGCACCATTTATGCATCTTCTACATCATGATTTTTGGACACGAAAGAGATCCTTTAAACCAAAAATTCAAAAAGTGGAGTAAAGAGATAAATTATTTGAGAGAAGACCAATAATTAGATGAGTGAGGTCACTTCTTCTTTTATCTTTCTTTCTTTCTTTTTTTTTTTTTGGGGGGGGATAAATTTCTTGGTCATAACTCTAGAAGTGCAAACTAGAGAAATATGTGACTTTTTGCTTAGTCTCACATATCTGGCAAAGTAATTCTTGACGACTCGAATCCAAAATTTCTTAAATCACTAGATGTAATTAAGTATGAAGTCTTTGATCTGTCAATAGTTTGAGTAGATGAAAGTGAAGCAAATAGACTTAGGTGGATGGCTAAGGTAGCATTTTGTAATGTTGTCATCTTTTTATTTTATCTTCACATAAATTGGGTAACAAGTTTTTCTTTTATTACAAAAAAATAAATAAAAAACCTATTGATGTAGACAATATTTTGAAAAAAGTAAATAAATATATTTAATGAATTATCGGAGATTATGACTAATAGAGGAGAGTGGATACAAATTTAAGAATTAAAACAAGGAAAGACATTACTTTCATTTTTCTTTGTCATATTTCTTAGGTTGTTATAGTATTGAATTATGTGGTTTTATAACTTGTATTTGTAGTAAGAAAGATTACTTAGAAGTGTACTTTCTTTATTTCAAGCCATATCTTTAGCAATGTGTTTTTGTTTTATTTTTATTTTTATTTTGTGTGTGTGTGTGAGAGAGAGATATTTCTCACATTGTTTTCTATAAAAGCAATATTTCTCACATAGTGTAATCCAAGCTTTATAATAAGATAAATTTTTTTATTTTAAGTAGTAAGAGTGTAGGAAGTGAAAGATACAACTATAAATTTGTAAAGAAAATACCTTTTATATTTGTGCCGGAATGAGCAAGATAGAAAATAGAGTAAGAGAAAAATAAATCGACTACATTGTAAAAATTTATCTGTGATAAATGAGTTTTGTGAAAGAATTTTTTTTTAAAAAAAATAAAAATAAAAGTCAATTAATAATCTTCATTGTAAGATTAAAAGATAAATTTAATCTCACGTGATAAAACCAAATGTATTTTTAACAAATTTCTAAGACTTTTTCAAAAAAATGAGCTATATTTTGTTATATAGGTTTCATCAATAAGATTAGAAGTTTGAATAATCTTTTTCTTGATTGATTCAAAAGGTGTATTTACCAATCTCATGCTAAGCAAAAGAAGTATAACTAGGAATTTCAAAATCATATACTTTTGTTTATTTTTTTCCTTTCACTTCTTTTTATATTCTTTGTCTGAATTTAGTAAAATTAAAAAATACCCACCAAAAGAGAAAGCATCATATCCTAATAAAAAACAAAAATAAAAACAAGAACTTTATATTATAATTATAATAAAAAATTTTAATTTTTCATAAAAATAGATGGTGGTCCGCATGTCTTGGCAACCTAATTTCACATTTCCCAACTATAATTAATTATTTATTTTTAGGCCGGACTCCACCAATTTTCTTAACCAAATTACATAGTTCCTCTGCTTTAACAATTAAATAATTTTATTGATTTTAATTACCAATATTTAATTACTTTTCTTTTCCCACTTCTATTACTTTTTTAATCACAATCTGGGTAAAGTTAGGCACCCAAATTAACATAACAATTTCCATTTTCTCATCACAGTGCAAGGAAAAAAAAAATCAGTCTTTTCTTCTCAATCTATCTCCTTCTATTTATTCCCAAAATTAGAGTTAAATTCTTTTTATTTTCAAATTCATAAACCATTAAAGCGCTCTCTCTCTCTCCCCCTCTGTTTTACTCTTTGCTTTACAAAGTTGAAAATAAATAGACTCTCCTCTGTTTTAGTTTGAATTTTACTTTACTTTTTTCTGTTCTATCAGGACTTGAATTAAAAGTTTCTCAAGCTTCAAAATTCAAGGTCTCTTTAATTTGCACTCTAATAATTTCTTTATTTTCTTTTCTGGGTTTTGGGTTTTGTGTTTCAAACTGTATTGTATTTCCCCCTCAAATCTTTTTTGGGTTTTGTTTCAAAAGATTAAAGAAGTTCTCAGTTGTTTCGGTGTGAGGAAAATGATGGGTTTTGAATGAGAAAGTCCTAGAAATTTTCTTGGTGTTCTGGGTATGGAGGGAAGGGATGGTTTGAGCATTAGTGGGGTTACAGTGGTGGGATCAGATGCTCCGTCGGACTACCATGTGGCGCCTAGGACTGAAAACCCTAGTCAGGCCGCCGGACCAACTCCGGCGCCGACCACTCAACTGGGTGTGTCGCTGCCGGCGGTTGGTGGTGCACCAACGGTCAAAAAAAAGAGGGGTAGGCCGAGGAAGTACGGTCCGGATGGGACGGTGACGATGGCTCTGTCACCGAAGCCGATATCGTCATCGGCACCGTCTCCGGTGATCGATTTCTCGGCCGCCAAACGGGGGAAAGTTAGGCCAGTAGGGTCAGCCAGCAAGCAACACAAGATGGAGGTGGATAATTTAGGTATTTGAACTACATTTCTTGTTAATTTTGGTATCTTCTTGTTTTATTATAATATAGTGGTGGTTTGTGTTTTGATCTTGTGTATTTGGGTTTTACTTGATTTGATTTGGGTTGTGAAATTGATGTTTAGTGTTTGAATTTAAAGTGTGTATGGTATATAATGGTGGGTTTGATGTGGGACCTGTGATTAGATGCCACACAAATTGGATCTTGATGTAAATTGGTAGCCCTGAAAGTAAGTTTGGGATCTGTAGTTTGGTTTGGGAATGAGGAATCTTCGTTATAGGGCTGTCGTTTAGTGTTAGTACTTCTCACCTTTTTAGGAAGATGAGAACAAGAGGAGGAAAAGAACCAAAAATGTGGAAGTTGCCATCTTGGATTAATCCGTTAAAGTCCTTTAACTAATGGTAAAGAAACCTAGATTCCACACTGGGGGAGGTTGTGTAAATGTTTTTTTTATCTGTGACGTCATATAATATTTTTGTTCTCTTGGACAATGAGTAAATTTATCAGATGTTCATCGTAATGGCGTTTTGTGACATTTTCATCTTAATGACATTTTGTTTCCACCACTTGATTTGATTCTTTGTACCCATTGGGTAGGATTGAGGTGACTATGTTTTTTTACTTTTTGTGAGCCATACTTTGGCAAGCCTTGTGGGAGAGCATCAGGATTTGTGGTTTTGCCTTATGATTTTTCCTCTTTTATCAGTTGTTTCGTGTCATTTTTGCTGAATACTTTTGTAGCAAAGGACAAGGATATCAATATTTAAGAATTACTAAAATTTTTGGGTTTGCAGTTGTAAGTTTTTATTTTGATTTCCTTAGGGTTTTTCTTTCTATGGATTGACATAATCTGTACATGTCAAATTGATTATTTGCATGTCCTCTTTGTAATTGGCATACTTGTATTGTCATTTCTACTGGGTGACAACCATATGTGTTATCACGTACACGGGGCCCATCATTTGGTCATGGCATCTATGAAATCTTGGAGTAAGTGAATTTAAATTAGTTTTGAACTCAGAAAGAATCAATTAAACTATGTTGACAATTAGGTTCCAAAAGTATTTTTTATTTGTTTCTTCTTTAGAGTAGGCCTGCAAATCAATGCTGATAACTCAGTCTTATTTGGGTACAATTGATTGTGTCTGATTCCAGTACAGTTGTTGAACTCTTAAATTGCAAATGTTGAGGGGAAAATTTTGGTAGAACAACAACATTATATTATGTATATGCATATATTTTTGTAACTAAGTTATAAGTAGTCCATAAATGCTATACGTTGTTATTAATGTTGCGTTAACTTAGGAAAAAGTGGTATGAAAGTCCCAAACGAAACCTGTCAAATGTGGTGTCCACTCAATATAATAGTCTAAGTAACTTAGGTCTTTTTGTTAGTTTTGGCTGATGTAGTTTCCAATGAAGTTATCTTTAACTATGCCTTTTTTACTGGTAGTAGTGTATCTAACTACGTTACTGAGCCCAATAGGAAACTTAGGCATATATTTAACTAATGGCCTTGTTCCCTTTTCGTTTGAGTTAGCAACGCGTGTAAACAAAAACGAAGCAGAAAATTAAAAGGTTTAGATGGTTTATGTGTTCGTTTGGTTGTTGTCTTGTTTTATGATTGATAATTTAGGGTCTGGTGTCCTGGTTTTACTATTCATGAAATGTGTAGAATATGGAAGCTTTATGAGGGTAACATAAAATTCTGACTCCTTGCAATCATTCCTCAACTTTATATTTTTTTGTTTTTTTTAAATTGGCAAATAAATAAATTTTTGTTAAGTGGGGAAGTTTCATATTGCTGATCTGCAATGTTTCTTCGTAGGTGATTGGGTTTCATGCTCTGTTGGTGCTAATTTCACACCTCATATGATCACTGTCAATGCTGGAGAGGTAAATGTTGGTGCAATTGGTGCCTTTTTCCCAAAGATAATGTCTAATTTTCTCCTGGCTTATTTCTCTAATGGTTTAGATCTTTGAAGTTATTATGTAAAACTCGTATGATTTTGCTTTAACCCAAAGTTATTTGGAAACAGTGGCTGGACCAGAAAAGGAGAAAGGTGTTAATAATTCACTTACAAAAAAAGAAAATAAAAAAATATAGCAATAATTTCTTAACAAAGATGATATTGGCAATGCATGCTGTCATGGACTAAAGGTGTCCAAAGACTTTCTTCCTTTTCTTTTTTTAAACTTTTTATAGGCTAAAAAGATATGCAAACTGGCACCATGACCAGCATTCCATGCACTGCCTCCAAAAATTGTCAATGTTTCAGTCCCATTGTCATTCGTAAAACTTTACATGTCATCTTTAAACTCTTTTATTTGTGACTTGAAGTGGATTTGACCCCTATTTGCATCACTTGATAAAATATTGCTTTGATAGTTATATCTTCGGATATTTATGTTTGTCAAAAGAGGAGGAAGTTCAAAGAGGAATGTATGATCAGGATGTTTACCAATTGACACAGCGGTAGTATAGGAAGAAACTAGATATCGTTCTAGTAGTGGAAACAGAGACTAGATATCGTTCTAGTAGACGAGGAAATTGAAAGAGGAATGTATGATCGGGATCTTTGACTGGCACAGCGGTAGTATAGGAAGGAACTAGATATCATTATAGTAGACGAAACAGGGGCTATATATCGTTCTAGTATACGAGAATTCTTGAATCCACCAGAACAACCTTGAATCCACAAGGAAAATAGACGAAAAACTCTTTAAAATATTATTGATTGAATGAATCCATTACATTTGCTTGTAGGCTTCTTTATAATAAACTAAACCTACAAATATTAGGTTTAAGCTAAACTAGGAAGCTTAAATCAGCACAAATTAGGAAACCTAAGAGAATAGTAAACTAAAATTCTAAAGTATTTAAAATCTAATTCCATAATAATAAAATTAAGGAATAAAAAAAATTTATAGAATTTTGTTCTACGTCATTAACTTCTCTGGTCAACTACTATTACCATGATTTTTATATTCAAAGGACAAGTTTAATTTGATTTACTGCATTGATGATTTCTTTTTCGTTGTTTAGGATGTTACAATGAAGGTTATATCATTTTCTCAACAAGGGCCTCGTGCAATATGCATTCTTTCTGCAAATGGAGTAATTTCAAGTGTCACACTTCGTCAGCCTGATTCTTCTGGTGGTACATTGACATATGAGGTTGTGCATCTAGTCCTTTCTTTCACAACACAGTCAATCTTGGTTACTTCTGTTTCATTTCATTTTTGAAGAATTCTTAACTTTTAGTGGGTAGATCCATTACATAATATAGAATTGAATTTGTCTAAAATTTGCATAACCCAGTCAACTGTATGAATATTATGTGGGTGTTTGGGAAGTGAGTTTTTATGTAGGTTTTTTTAGTTGTACGATATTATTGGAGAAATTTTTTTTTGTGTTTGGGAAGAAAGTTGGGTTTTTTTGTGGTTGGATGTGATGTTTGTGAAAGAAAAAGTGAAATGATTATGGGGTTGGATGTGATATTTTGTTTGGATATATTTTTTTTGGTTTTGCAAAAAGTTTGTCTTTTTGTGAAAAAAATCAAAAAAAACCCAAGTCTCAAACTTCCCAAACACCACCTATTATCATCTTATATCAGTTAATTAAGGCTTCAAGAAAATATCAGTAAATCTAGGGTTTTCCAGTGAGATTTTTGAAATTTGTCAATTTTTCTAGATATATTAACATCTGCACTTGTAGAGGCATTTTTCCTTTTTTGAGTATTTGTCCAGTAGAGTTAGTCTTGCCAAAGCCAGTATTTATAATCTTGCTTTTACATGTTTTTATTCCATCTGTATATTGGAATTAAAAATATTGTATCTGTAATAAGTGCTTCATCTACTTCTTTATTGGATAAAAAATATTACCATCCTGGAAGGTGTGACTCTAATCTGATGGCTAGTGTTTATTTCTTATCCATGAGGGCACAGGATTGATGGATTGAGTAATTATTTCATGCCACATTAGTAGTTTCTTTTTACTTTTTGGATAACTACTACTTAAATTGCTGCATGATGCAATTAATACCATTCTCAACAAAGGGTAAATGGAAAGATAGGAACTTTTGAAATTGGTATAATTTAAAGGTGGGATCAAGGGTATTCTGGTGATTTTAGAATTTTCTTGAAATGAGCTGCAATATTGGTTTATGGGTTTGAATCATAACTCCTTTTGAGAGCCGAGACTCGCTTCCTCGTAAAACTCGTTTCCAAATCAGAGACAAACTCTTATGAAATTTTTAGGGAACTCTTAAGAAACATATCCGAAATGTTTCTGGAACTCGAGCAAAAGAAAGAAATTTGAGAAACACTGAAAAATGTTGTACAAACTCCTTTCTCATAAACCAAACCAAACCGATTATATTTAATAGCATTAGTGTTTCATAGATGGGTTTTACGAGTCAGTCTAATTTTTCTATTTATTGTAGTCGTAGTTAGTTGAAAGTTGTCTTGAAGTCTATGGCTATATACCTTTTCAAATTCAATTGAGATTGCTTTAGAGAATTGATGAGCTTTGATGCTCTTTTTGGATTTTGTCCCGTAACACTAGGTCTTCAATTGAGATTGCTTTAGAGAATTGATGAGCTTTGATGCTCTTTTTGGATTGTGTAATGGACCCCTAACACTAGGTCTTATGGCAAAGATTACCTAAGGGAGCATCCTGGAGTTTTTTTTCCCTTCTTTCTCTCTTCTTTTTGCCTTTCTCTTCATTTTTTTGCACCTTCAAGCTAGAAAGGATGCAGCTTTGTTTTACCATTAAAACCTTGTTAGATCCTTTCCATCGCTCCTTAAATCATACAAAGACAAAAATAAAAGATTCCCAAAATCTACTGAGTGCCATTTGCTGATGTTGTGAACAGAACCCAAAAAAATCCCGCCACCTTGTTATACCATTTGCAAGCTCTAAAACCTCGTATCACCACCAACCTTTAGCCAGTCACAAAAACCAATAAAGACAGGCCCAAAAAACCTTTAACACTGCCCGACATAAATGCATTGTTGTGTGCTGCCTGGATTTTTCAGGAGCAGATTGTATATAATAATTAACATATTGAAATGTTGAAAGGTTTCTTCTTGGTAAGCTTTCAAGACAATTGATTTAGTGCACCTATCATGCTCACATTTACCTCATTTGCAGCTGAATGTGTACAAGGTTTATCAACTAAAGTCTCCATAACAAAAACAACTACAGGCCATTTCGTAATATTTTATTCTGAATTGGCTTAGGTACTGTTATTTGGAATCAGTACTGAAAGAGTACCTTTTCATGGTAGCTTAATGCACCAAATATAGACTTATTAGGCTATTCTTTTTTAGGCGGGTAATTTATTTTATTAATTGGATTTTCAAAGATTTTACTGCTTAATCTGTTGAAACATTCAGATTTGAATCTCTCATCGGGGTATCGGGTTGTTTTACATGTCGGTTATTTTCTGTTATCATCTACTTGAACACCAACCATTTCATGCTGCTGCTGTTCTTTCAGGGTCGTTTTGAGATACTGTCCTTGACTGGGTCATTTATGCCAGCTGAGACTGGAGGAATAAGGAACAGATCAGGCGGCATGAGTGTTTCTTTAGCAAGCCCAGATGGACGAGTTGTGGGAGGTGGAGTTGCCGGTTTATTAGTAGCTGCCAGTCCTGTGCAGGTATGGCATCTCTTCTTCTTACTTTCTTTGCCTAGCTGCTGCCTAGGAAGCAGGGGTGCAGGGATATTACGGGTATGCAAATATTGAAAAATTTAAAAAGGTAGGACACAAGTATAGTCTTGGTATGTTCATAAACAAATACATTTTTTACAATTAAAAAATTAAATGCAAAAATTAATTAAAGTAATTTTGTAATTGTCAAAAAAAAAAAGAACCCTAAGTATTTTTTTAAATATTATTGATAATTGCAAATATATCTTATATTTTTTAATTTTTAAAAAATATGCACAATATAATTGTTCCAATACCTCTATATTTAAAATAAAAAAAAAAATTGTATTTATATCCACCAAGTACCTATAAAAGTATTTGAAATGTATCTAAGCCGTGCCGAGAGTGTTTTGCATATCTAGTATGTGTGTAGCTGCACCGGTATCAATACTCGTATTTGTATGGCAATATTTTCAAATTACCCATGCTTTATAGGGCATCAGTTAATTGTGGGCAAAAAAATTATGGTTTTCTACAACACAACACCTTGGCAGAATGCATACATAGGTGATAATGATGGTGGATACATTCCTTTTTTGAGATGTGAGCTTGAAACGGATTGTAATATGCGCCCTTTATTTTACAAATCAGATCGTTGTAGGAAGTTTTCTGGCTGGGAACCAGCACGAACAAAAGCCCAAGAAACAAAAAACAGAATCCATAACAACTTCCACACAACCAACTGCTGCCATCCCTATTTCTAGCGCTAGCACTGAGATAGAAGATACATTTGGCGTTCAACACACTTCAACGACCCCAAAGCCAAATCTCTCATCTTCTTCTTCGTTCCGTGTTGATAACTGGTCTCCATTGCCTCCAGATTCGAGGAACAAGCCAACTGATATTAATCTAACTTTGCCTGGATGATAGTTGTTAAACGAGCCTCGGTGGATTTATGCATTACAAGGTTTGCTACTACTGACCAGTGACCGCATTGGCCATTAAAACTCGAATTGACGCCATCTCACTCTACCGTGTTTGTCTGTAAACTTCTTGTTACTGTTTATCATTAGTACCGGCATGTTGATTTGTTTCCGATGGGGGGTTTGTGTTGTTTTTGTGTTGTAGGTTTAATTAGTTTTAGTGAATTAGATAGGCTTTTTCAGCCACGGTTTGTCCTGTAGAATATTTTGGTGCATCATTACATTACCCCTGGAGTTACCTTTTTCCCATGCAATGTGATTCGAATTTAAATGTCTTTATAATATATTCAAGTTGTCTTTAACTGGGCCTCTTTAATTCTTTATCTTCTGCCTGGTTTGTTTTTTTATGTAAAACATTTTTTAACAAAACATTTTATAGTTTTTTTTTTTTCAAAAAATATTTTCTGAAGAAACATTTTTTTTTTTGGTGTTTGATTGTGTCCATAAAACTAATGTATTAATTAGTTTATTAGTGGGGGTGGCGGCGGTGTAACAGAGGTGGAGGTGAGGTGGTGAGGCAATGGAGGTGTGATGGTTGTGACGGTGGTGTAGTGGTGAAGGTGATGATAGTGACGACATTGATAAGATTTTAGTTCAGAAAATATTTTGTACATTCATTGCGTGATGGCTAGGGAGTTTGAGATGAGAGATGGTGCTAAGCATGTTCGAGGTGTTGGAGGTTCTTGCTCATGGAGGGACAAGAGGGAGAATGGGTAAAAGAATAAAGAATGGTTGGCTTTCGACACCATTATGCTTGTCGTGGCTTGTTTGGAGGTTAGCACAATTATAGGACTTTTGATTTCACACATTGGAGCACCAAGGATCCTCTAAAGTGAAATTTTCCTAAAGTTTTCTAGAGTGCTTTATTGTGTAGTTGAGATTTATTGGCAAGTCACATCAGAAAAATTGATGTGATTTGCCAGTAAATCTCAACCACACAATGTAGCACTCTAGGAAACTTTAGGAAAAAATCACTCTAGAGGATCCTTGCTCTTTTTCATAAAAATTCGTAGACAAACCAAATATAAATGACATCTAGTTGTTTGTTGCAACTTAGAGCATCTCCAACGGTTCACTTAATTTTTCACCAAATCTGAGTAAAAAAATGACCATTTTTTCATTTTGATATAGAATGCTTCAATGGTTGATTTTCATTAAATCTGCTTCAGGGGCAACCAGTTGGTCGACTGGTAAGACAAATTTTATTTTATTTTATTTTTTGAATTGTTTGAACCTACCTATTTGAACTGTTTGAACCTTTTAGTGGTCGACCGGTAAGGTAAAAATATATATATATATTTTTTGAATTGTTTGAAGCTACCCATTTGAACTATTTGAACCTTTTCGTAGTCGACCGGTTGGTCAACCGGTTGGGCAACCGGCTGGTTGATCGGTTCCTGTCTTCCAACGATCACAAATAGTAATTTGCTGAAATCTGTATCTTGTTCTCAGTTTGATGATTTTTTTGTTCAATTCTCAATTTGATACCAGTTTGGTGAAATTGTTGGAGCTTCAAAAAGTGGCTTTTTCATCAAATTTCAAATTTGATGCCAGGTTTGGTGAACCGTTGGAGATGTTCTTAAATGAGCAAATTATAACTTAATTTTAATTAAAGAGTTTGTATCAAATTATTTAGTACAAATTTTGTTTACAACTAATTTGGCAGAAATCGCTTATATAATTTTTTTTTAAAAAAAACAATTTAAATAAATAAAAGTTGAGGTAGAGATATTTTGATTTCTACTTTTGGGTTATTAATTTTTAATTTATAATAAATCACACCAAACAAATACTTGTATATAATCAAAAAATATAAATTAAAAACACTTTTTCCTCAAATTTTTTAACTAATCAATTTTTAAAAAAAATTATTTGAGTTTTTTTAGTAATTTTTTTGTTTATTTTCGCCTTTAGTAAAAAAAAAAATTTTAAATTTTAAATTTCTAAATTCTACTTTATGAGATGAATCGAACAATTAATTTTTTAAAAAAATTCAAAATAGTTTAGAAAAGACAAAAAATAAGTATTTTTTTTTTACTTATTTTGATTTTTTTAAATTTTCAAAAGAATTTTACTTTTTAATTTTTTTTACATGGACTGAAAAATTAAAAAAAAAATAAAATTATTAAAAGCAAAAACATTTAAAAAAAGAATGCAACTTATTTAGGCTTGGTTTGGGAAGTGGGTTAGCTTTTTGACTTTTTTGACTATTTTAGTCTGGGCTTAAAAGCTTGATTTGGGAAGGACTTTTTAGCTTTTTTGAGTTTTTTTGTCAGAGAAGAATGTAATGATTATGGGTTGGATGTGATATTTTGTTTGTTATAACTAAAATAACCTATTTTATTTTTTATGACTAAAATAACTATGCAAACCCACTTGCCAAAACACAGGTGTACGAGTCAAGCAAGCTTCACAGACACAGACACCATCAAAAGTCTGTCACCAAATCATTAATTTCTTAGGTAACTAGTGCATTGACTTTTTTTTAGTTTTTTTTTTTTTTTTAATTTAATTTTTTTAATCTTGTTTGATTTGATTTTTTTTAAATTTTATGAAAGAAAAAATGTAATGATTATAATTTTGTCTTATTAACTTATATAGTCATTTTTATTTTTTATGCTTTTTTAATCAAAAATCAAATGCCAAACGAAACTTAAATAATTAAATAAATACTCCCTCCGTCTCAAAATAATGGTCCCTTTTGAGAAATCTAACTTTTTTTGATAGTACAATTATTACATTTGAAAAAAGTTAATTTTTCAAAATTACCCTTTTGATAGTAAATTTTTTGGGAATATCAATGTCATAATTGTACTTTTTATATTATTTATTAATTTAAAAGAATGGCAAAATAAAAAATTTACATTATTTTTGTACTTGATTTTTGAAGAGTGACTAATATTTTGGGACAATAAAAAATAAAATAAGAGACTAATATTTTGGAACGGAGAGAGTAATAATAATAAAAAGGAGAAAGGCTTCACTATTATTGTGTCAAACCGTTTAATGCTACATCTATTAATTTGGTACAATTATTACATTTGAAAAAAGTTAATTTTTCAAAATTACCCTTTTGATAGTAAATTTTTTGGGAATATCAATGTCATAATTGTACTTTTTATATTGTTTATTAATTTAAAAGAAGGGCAAAATAGAAAATTTACATTATTTTTGTACTTGATTTTTGAAAAGGGACTAATATTTTGGGACAATAAAAAATAAAATAAGGGATTAATATTTTGGGACGGAGAGAGTAATAATAATAAAAAGGAGAAAGGCTTCACTATTATTGTGTCAAACCGTTTAATGCTACATCTAGGGGTGAGCAGCGGATATACCGATACGCCAAAACCGACCGAACCGAACCGATCCGCCATATTTTGGACGGATGCGTGATGACGAGCGGACGGTTGCGGATTGATTTTCTCAAATCCGCCAATTTGGCGGACGGATGGCGGATTTAAGATTTTTTGGCCGCAACCGAACCGCCAAACCCCAAGCACTAGTAATTTATAAGACTTTGTATTTTCAATTTGTTTAAATATTATGTTTGTGTTTTCAATTGAAAAAGAGTTTAAATATTCTATTGAAAAAAAGTTTTCAACTTGAATATATTTTTTAGTTTTTAAATGTAACTCTAAAAATAATAAATAGAAAATATGATATATGCTGGTTGGTTTTTGTTTTCAAAAACATATGCAGATGTAACAATACAGAGACATTCAATCTCTACTACTGCTCTGTTCATGGTTTTGGTGGTTTGAATTGTTATTATATTTTAACAATTACAGATTGTAATACTTTATGGGGATGAATCATGCTATGATTATAATATGTGGATGAGGCATGCAGTGATCGTGATATTCTAAAGTTTCAAAATTTTTTTCTTTGGATAAAGCATACAGCAATTGTAATACTTTTTAAAGTCATTGACTGTAATACTTTCTTTTTCTTTTTTTTATTTTTTATTTTTTTGTTTGAGGAAGTGTACAAATTGAATTATGTTGAAAATTTATAAAATTTTAAACCGCCAAACCGATTCGCATCCATCCGCCAAACCGCCAATCCACTCAATCCACATCCGCCGGATTGGTGGACGGATGCGGATTGATTTTCTTCAATCCGCCAATCTGGCGGACGAATGGCGGATTGGAGGTTTCGTGGCCGCAACCGATCCGCGCCCACCCCTAGCTACATCTATTAATTTGGTTTCCTTTGAATTGTTTAAAATTATATGTATCAATTGTTTAACAAGTCATTTGAAAGATTATTCGGCCATTACTTGGATGAATGTTAGTTGACACACCAATTGATAAAGGTAATAAGTGCAGTTAATAAGAGTGACAACTATGATTGACAATGATAACATCAGTTACCGAGCAATTGTGTGGCCATATCATTCAGGTAAAGTCGAATTCCCTCTATTTCAATAGATAAAACATTTTTCACCTCTTATTTATTGCATAGTCTGAATTTCATTCTTACTCATTAAGTTTATTATTATCAATCAAATGGCAACAACGTATTTTCTTAATTAAGTTGTGATGAATAATAATATTATTATATGAATATGTCAACCTCAAATCATCCCCAAGTATAGAAAGTTATATTATTAATCAACTTTTGAACTTTCATGGCAAAAGTTTGTAACGCCTAAGGGTCGGTGATTTTTGTCATAGAAGACTTGAGCTGCCCATAATCCTCAAGTTTAGTTCACACAAGTGAATCCTGGGCTTGTCTTGCGTTCGATTTTTGTTGGTGTCTCTTGAGTTTAATTGATACATATTATTTATAGGTAACATGGGAAACAAGTTGAGTTAAATTGAACAACATTTTAAGATATTTAAGTTTAATTTATTAAATCTTTTTTAACTTAGGCTCAAGCCAAGCTTTAGCCTATGTTTGGGAAGTGATTTTTGTGATTTTTTAGTCTAATAAGACAAATTATCACATCCAACCCATAATTATTACATTTTTTTCTCACAAAAAGTCAAAAAAGCTAAAAGTCCTTCCCAAATCAGGCTTTTTAGCCTCAGGCTAAAATAGCCAAAAAGCCAATCCACTTCCCAAACGAAGCCTTAAGCTTGAAAGATTAATTTTTAGTTTAGTTTGTCCAATATTTGAAAAATTCAAACTTGGATTGAATCAACTCAATTATAAGAGGGAAAAAAATATTTATGCATATTAAGAGGCGGAAAAGAAGAAGAATGCATTATGAGTAAAATATATAATAATACTCATATATTAATAATTTTATTAATTAAATATGTAAAATGTACAAGCACCAATCATATACAGAGAGATAGAATAAATTAATAAGAGTATATAATTATGTTCACGACTCTAGTTGAGTCGAGTTTGAATTTACTTGTGTTCGGCTCAATTACCAAATAAGTTCAAAAATTTAGCTCAAACTCATTTATTTTGTTTACAACCAGATTTATGGCTGATTATAAAAATTCGAAATTTTCTCATGATCTAAGAAAAACTCTACATTGGAGAGGCTCTCTAAAAAAAATAAAATAAATAAATTCACAAGACATCCAAGGCCCTAAAAACAATAGCAATTCTAGATATTCAAATAATTTATCCACAAACAACATTAGGTAGTTGAAATTTATTTTAAGTGAGAATTTCATTATACATAATTGAATCCAGACCACACATTAATATTCTGGATAATATTCAACACATATTTTCTGATTTTCTAGCTTTTCTATATAAAAATAATAATAATAATTAAAAAGAAGAAAAAAAAGAAAGAGGATCTAGAATATTTTGGTGTGAAAACTTGGTGTAGACTCACAAAAACCATCCTCAATGATTTTACTCTACATTTCCAATATTAGCTGGTTATGACCCAAAACGAAGTTCTGGTTTACCATATTAATATCTATTCATATATCACTATATTAGCATTGGGGTATTTTATTTTATTTTTTTTTTGGGAATATCCATATTGAATATAACTTATTCAGTTGAATTACTAATTTGACCTCATATATGAAGTGTTTACATTTCAACTTGTTTAATCTTAGCTTGTTTAGTCAAGAAAGGTTGGCTCATTTTTATATTTCCCATTTTCCATCCCCCTTAAAATGGTGATTTTTTTTAAAAAACTTTTCTTCCAAGAAAAGGAAAGTGGTGAGGTATCTCTTAAATGTCACTTGGTCAACCAAAACAAATAGGGTTTGGTTATGGTGTGCAACTTACACCTTACACCTTACACCTTACACTTACACTTTTTGTAAAAAATTAAACCTTACACTTACACCTTTTTTGAGGTTGCACACCCACTTACACCTTACACCTTACACTTACACCTTATACTTATACTTACACCTTACACTTACACTTTTTGTGTAAGTGGCACATGGTGTGCACTTGCACACTTAAGAAAACTCCAAACAAATATTCCATGCTAAATGGTATCGAATCTTTTTTATTTTTCACATTGGTAATTTGGCACTTCATTAATACTTAAAAATCAATAATCACTATTGTTGTTTGTTGCAATTTAAATAAATTATTTATTGTTATTTTTTTTAAAAATTGTGTCGAACCATTTGACGTAGCTTTTGTGTCCAATTTATGTGGTAAAAAATAGTTTACAAGTTGAAGGAAAAAAAAAAAAAAACTATCCTAAAATTGAAAGTAAATTACAATGCTAAATGGTATCGAATCCTTCGTTATTTTCCACATGTTGCCACATAATGAGCACTTAAAATCAATCGTCACAATTACCATCTAAAAAAAAATCAATTGTCACAACTGTTGTTTGTTGTTTACTGCAGTTTAATTTTTTTTTTTTAGTGTGTGATAATTTGATGTAGTTTTTCCGTCTGATTTATGTGGTAAAAATAGCTTAATAAGTTGGGGATAAAAAACTATCCTAAAATTAGGAGACGGGCGTTTGAAGTTCTACTTATAGATCTTCTAACTTTCAACTTAAATAAAAGGTAAATTACTATCTAAAAAAAAAGATAAATTAAAATAATCACGCTTGAAGTTTAGAAAAAGTATAATAAACTCTACAAGTTTGACATAATTACACCGATCTCCCTTCTAATAAGACCAAGTGAACAAAACTAATGGACATGCTATGAAGATACCAAGATAAAATAAAATAAAATTGACATTTAGTATAAAAGATAAGATAACATCATTTTTCTATCCATAAAACTAACGAAATGTTATTGTATTAAAACCTTAAGAGAGTCTAATATAATTATAATAAACTTGTGTAGCTCAATATATTTTCTTCAAATTTCAAGGGAGGTTAGGATAATTTACTCTATAAATTACAACAAACAAGTAATATCTTGTGCTAAACTCTATCACGTCGAGCTGAGTACCAATTTGTTCACACACATGAATAATACACCAACCAATGAAGTGGTTCCACCACGTTGTGTGAACAAATTTTCTCTCCGTCGAACTCTTTTAACTCATCACTTAAGTGGTGGTAACGTGGCAACATATCAAGACGCAGCCGAAAGTTGGAACAGAGGATCTAAAGCCAATCATAATGGAATGAATTTTCCTACTGGATACTTGTTTTTTCATCCCAAGAGATACTGGGAAATTTCCTAATTTATGCTGAGAAGCTTTAAAAATTCTAGAATGGACTTAATCAACTTCTGCACTCAATTGTATGCTAAGATTATTCTTTAAATAACTTGCTGAGAAAAACACTTCGAGTCGGGTTAAAATCACTTGAAAACAGACCTATAAAAGGGTAACCCTTCTTTATCAAGTGAAACCCATATCAACCAAAACCATACACAACAAATAGGACAATGAAACCTGTTTGGGTATTTGTGATTCTTTCACTCATTCTATGCGCAGCTACTTCTCTGGTTTTCTTGAATCTTTCTTTGTCATCCTATCACAAGGTTCTAGGCTTATCTTCTAGTCATCTTTTTGTGTTTTCGATGTTTAATACTGTAATAGGTGTCCTCTTTGCCCAAAGTTACAAACCGTCTACAGATGTTTTCGATGAACTAGAGGAAGAACAAACCAAAGAGATACACAATGTTTACAAGCATGAGGATTATGATGATGATGACGAAAATGTTGATTATGATGGAGATTACTATGATTCAGATGGTTACGACGAAGATAATGATGATGATGGTAGTGATGACGTGGTTGGCTGGGAAGATGACGATGAAGAAGAAGAAGAAGAAGAAGAAGAAGAAGAATATGATGATGATTTGGAGAGCAAAGTTGAGGAATTCATTGCTAAGGTCATAAAAGGATGGAAAGAAGAACAGTTAACGGAGGAGACGTTTCACAAGTATGTGGATTAACTAATTGGTATTCAATATATTTCTAGGCTCTGAAGTTGCATATGATACCATTCAAGCTTCATTTTTTAGTCTATCCTGTAAATGGTTTACTAGTTTTCTTTCCAAATTTAAACTCCCCTCTTTTTGAATGGGGGTTTAGTATTTGTTATTTTCTTTCTAATTTTTTTTTTTCTTCAGAAGTGTCCGCATTTAGGGACAACCAAATCTGTCTTATCGTAATTAGTTGTTTGATTTATTTTGAGATGTAAATTTGATATGATACCAATTAAATTAAAGGTCTGTTTTTTTGTGTGTATTTTTGATATTACAACTATGTTTAAATGTAATTATTACCCGAATGATATCTTGATGTTTAAATTTTGAATTGTACCACTTTTAATTTTAGTTAGTATTTTGTTGCTTTTTTTAATTACCTTTTAATAAATTATTCATTTATTTGACATATAATAAATTTATATTTTTATAAAAATATAAAATTTTAATGTGTTATTAGTGAATCGTGTCCTATATTTTTTAAAAATTGTCATATAATGTCGCATGTCCGTATCTGTACTAATTTGTTTATAAGAGTCACCTTTTATGAATATAATTATGAGGAGCCTCTCCATGAACTGAAGGCAAGAAATTCACACTAATAGAAACCATAATTCCAATCCTTGGATTTCATCAGTTATGATCATCGAACATCAACACAAACCATTACACTGGAACCCTAGACAATGAGATAACAGTACATTCTCAATTCTGTAAATAAATACTTCTTTTGACAAAGAATGTTTCATTTCAGACTAATCAATTGATCACCAAAAGACACTTGTGTAACTTTACTTTCTGAATAGCTTATTGATTAAGTGACTAGTAATCAAAATTGTACAACCACCATCAGCCAATATGGTGCACAAACAAGAAGTTCACTAACCAAGACCTGTTCCTGCATCTTTTCTTGGTGCGTCTGCCTTAATACATGGAGGCCGAACTACACGATCAATGAGCCCATACTCAAGAGCCTCCTCAGCGTTGAAGCGCTTCATCTGACTCAAGTCCTTATTAATCTGCTTAATTACATAAGGAAAAATTACTAAGTAGTCCTATGTAGGGGGATCTATTTCCCTTCTAATCTCAATATATTTTTAATAAATTAATAGGTCTACAGTTTTTAAGTTTTATACCCAGTGCTCCCGTTTTTTATTTTCGTATTTTGTAAATGACTGTATTACTCTTTGTTTTGAGATCTATATATACGTGAAAAATCAAATTTTTGCTCCATTCAAAAAAGAAAATCAAATCTTTTAGTCTCTGCGATCTCGATTTCTCTTCGTTATGGCGATCTCATTGTGCTGTGTGGTCGATCTCATTGTACTGTGAGGTGAATTTGGTTGTGCGATCTGAATCTCTGTGTACATGCGATCTCTGCGTACGTTCTCTCTCTCTCTTTGTGTATCTGGTTTGTATCTGTCGATACATATATATATGTGTATGTATGTATCTGTCGATACATATATATATATATATATATATCTCTGTGTGTGTATACATATATGTATGTATATATAGATAAGTAAATTTGCGTGATATCTTATTTGTGTTTGGCAATGTTGTTTTAGTTCTTTATTTTGTGATAAATTTTATTTGTTTGATATTTATTTTATTTGATTTTTGTATGTGATATAGTGTAATGATTTTGATTTTATTGATTTTGTTTGTTGTATAGTGCAATGTGTTTTGAAGTTGTAGTTTGGAATTATGAATTATGGTGTTTTGATACTGATATATTGTAAGTGTATAATTTTACAATTTGAAATTGTGAATTGTGCAATGTTGGTACTGATATGTTGTAACTGTATAATTTTACAGTTTGAAATCTGTGAACAATTGTTTGTTGGTTTGTGATTTTGTAGTATGGAGGGGTGTTTCATGTTAATGTGCAAATACAGTAATTGTTGTGCTGCTATTAAGATTAGTGAGGGATGTAGTTATGATGAAGTTGTTGAGAAAATATGTACGAAATTCAAGGAGTTGAGTGTTGGTAACTTTTGTTTATTTTTCTCTATTGCTGGATATTTTAATTGTATTGTTGAATGTGATGACGATTTGTGAAATATGCTGTCAATGGTAGGTGGTAGTGGTTGTCATGTTGTTGATGTTATTGTGGGTGATAAGAGAATTGTGCAGGTTGATGATGGTAATTATTGTAGGATTGATTCTGTAATTGGTGAAAGTTCTTTGGTTAACGATTGTGATAATTTTGGTGGTTTGTTGCCTAGTTTTTATCCAGAACCAGAGAGAGTTTTGTTGTCTACTAGTTGGAAGGGGATTATACATAGTGTTAGTCAAGAATTTGAAGGTGGAGTGCCAGTGTTCCGCATTGCATTGGCTAAGTATGCAGTTGAGTGTGGTTTTGCAGTGAATTATTTGAAGAATGATGCAACAAGAGTAACTGCTGAATGTGTGATGAAGTCGTCTACGGGTTGTAAATGGTTTGTGCATGGAAGGGTGTTGATGAATTCTGGTATTTTTTTTATAATGAAGTTGGATAATGTGCACACTTGTAGGGTTATGACTTGTAAATCTTGTAGCAAAATGGTTGGTTCTAGACTTGTGTCTGATATTGTGCAAAATGATATTAGTGATAATCCATTGACTCGTCCTATTGAAGTAAAAAAAAGTTGAAGAAGCAATATGGTATAGATGTTTCTTATCGGGTTACATGGTTTGGAGTTGATAAGGCAATAGGTGGGTTGTTTGGTGATTTTGCAACTTCTTTTGACCAACTTCGATGGTACCTTGAGACGGCTATGAGAACGAATTCGGGAAGTGTGTTTGAATTAGATGTGGATGAAAGTAGTGGGTGTTTTCGGAGGTTGTTTGTGACATTTCATGGATGTTTGTATGGCTTTCAATTTTGTCGTCCGTTGTTGTTTGTTGATGGTACATTCTTGAAGGAGCGTTACAAGGGGCATTTGCTTGCAGCAATATCAAAGGATGGTAATCAAGGTATGTATTTATTTGCAGTTAGTATAGGTTTGGTTTGTCAGTGTGTTATTGTATTGTGAGTCTTCTAATTTTTGCAGTTTGATGTTATGTTGTTTGCAAGTCTGTTTCCTTTGGCATTTACGATTGTTGACGTTGAAAATCAAGATAATTGAATGTGGTTCTTAAGTCAGTTGTTAAAGGGTGTTGGTTCAGGCCGGAGATTGACCTTTGTGTCGAACCGTCAACATGGATTGCTAGACGCTCTTTCAGTGGTTTTTTCCAATGCACATCATGCATATTGCTTGAATCATTTGAAGAGAAATTTGATTGACAAATTGGTGGAACTTCGTACTAACTATAAGCTGAGTTTGATGAAAATATTAGTTAAATGTGCTTATGCGCCAACGGTTGCTTCTTTCCAACATTATATGGAGAAATTGGGGCGTATTGCTGGGAATGGTAGAGTTGATAGTATGTTGGATAGTTTGCAAAATGATAAGTGGGCGAATGCATTTTTTAAAGGGAAACGATATGGTGAGATGTCATCTAATGCTGCTGAGTCTTACAATAATTGGATTGGTAGGGCCCGTGAGTTGCCTATTACTTGTATGGTTGATATGATTAGGGTTCAAATCATGACTCAATTATCAAATAGAAGAGCTGAATCTAAAAGATGGACTACAAAATTGTGTCCTGTTATAGAAAAGAAATTGGTGGACTCTTTGGAACTAGCTAAGTCTTGGGATGTGATTGTTGCTAGTGATACTGTACTTGAGGTTCATTCTTTTATTTCTTTTTATGTTAATATTAGTAAACAGACTTGTTCTTGCCATGAATGGCAATTGAATTGTTTTCCTTGTTGTCATGTTGTGCATGCGTTGCGTAGTAGTGGTAGAGATGTGTATGATTTCATTGATCTATTTTTTCATGTAGATTGTTTTAGAGAGTCATACAAGGAATCTGTTTATCCAGTGCCTTCAAGTGAGAGATTTGACTTTGATGGTGCTAGTAGTTCGATTATCAAACCTCCTATAACGAAGAAGCAGCCCGGGCGGAACAAGAAGAAGATGATACCTTCTAGGGGTGAGAATGTGAAGCAAATCAAGTGTGAGAGGTGCTTGAAATATGGGAATCACAATAAGAAGACGTGTAAGGCTGCCATTTGAGACTACAGTCTATTCTTTTGGATTTGTATTTGAATTTGCGGAATTATGATAATAAAAAATGTGATACTTGGTATTATGAAAGTAATGAATAAAGTTGGTTGAATTAGCTTTTGTTTTTTGATGTGTTTTTTAGTTATTGAAGTTGTTTTGTAATAGTTTTGTTTTGTTTTTTATTGTTTTTTTTTTTTTTTGTGAGTTTGGTTGGTTTTATTTTTATGGAATGCACAGAAGGTTGTTGAAAATTTCTTATTGAAACTGTATAATATTGAAATGCAGTTTTACTACATGATTCATTTATTTCATATTTTATAGCGAGAAAACTGTAAAATTTTACAGTTTTATTTTCAATTTTGAAATGTATTTCATCTATTTGTTGGGTCATGAAATTGGATGCATAATTGTGTAGCATAAATTTTGTTTGAGTAATGAAATTGTATAATTTTACAGTTTTAATAATTATAAGAAACAACCTGATGAAACTGCATAATTGTACAGTTTTAAGAATTATTAGAAACAACCTGATGAAAATACATAATTTTGCAGTTTGAAAAATTATTAGAAACAACCTTTACTGTATAAAAATATATGCAACCACAAATAAGTACACAAATAATTAGAAGTACAAGCACAATAATAATAACAAGAAGAAGAGCAACAACAACATCAATGACAATAATCATTTTCACCATAATAACCAGAAGAAGATCATTCCCAAAAGTATATAAAGTACTTGTCACATGTAAAAAAAAAAAAAAAAAGTACAAAGATATGTTCACTTGAATATTTGTATTGTCAAGAAGTTTGTTGATTGTTTCTATGATTTGGTATGTTTTGTCAACATTTGGTAGTGCTCGAGTTTCTAAGATCGGTTCTCATCATTGAGGAATTGACTGATGATTTCTGCTCAAAATTTGACCTACTCAGTTGGTCGAAGTGATTTCTGCACAGGTTGATAGTTGATATATTGGTTGATAATATTGCAGACGGCGATTGCATAATCATTCCTGAAAAGTTTTAGATGAAGTTAATTAGTTAGATAAAACTGTAAAATTTAGCATATTGAAAGATTAGTTTATTGCTTTTGTATCTTACGAGTGTGGGGTTTGTTGTAGACATTCTTCAATTGATGCAATTATTGTCTCGCACTCTTGAGATGATAACATGTTTCCTTAATTGCTGAAATATTGTTGCTACAAAATAGTTAGTGAGTGTTTTTGTTAGTTATAGTGATGAGTTGAGATGTTTTTAAAGGAATGGAACTAAATACTCCCTCCGTCCCAAAATAATGGTCCCTTTTGGGGAATCCAACTTTTTTTGATAGTACAATTATTGTACTTTAAAAAAGTTAATTTTCCAAAATTACCCTTTGATAGTACATTTTTTTGGGAATATCAATGTCATAATTGTACTTTTTATATTATTTATGAATTTAAAAGAAGGGCAAAATAGGAAATTTATATTATTTTTGTACTTGATTTTTGAAGAGGGACTAATATTTTGGGACAATGAAAAATGGAATAAGGGACTAATATTATGAGACAGAGGGAGTAAGAAAATTTATTTAATATACAATTTCCTTTGCAATTTCAAAGTGCTTGTTGTGGCAATCTTTTGCTGGTCTCAAAGAGTTATAGTGTCTCCATATCCCATCAACATTGTCAAAGATTACAATTATCCAATGGTTGTCGTGGTTGATTGGGAAATAGATATATCTGTTTTTCATTGCTTCTGAAAAATAACTGTCCATCATTTTTTCTCTCAGTGCTTGATCTTGGTTTTGTAGTGGAGTCTGTAAGTTATATATATGTTTGAAATATGTTATAAAACTATGTAGTAAGACACATTAAGAAAGTAGAAAATTTTGCAGTTGAAAGGTATGTTAAGTTTTGTTTACATTGATGAGTGTTGAGAAAGCGTAAGATCTTCTCGCGTATGGATTTCTTGCAAAGGCTAGATCATTTTTCTCAAATTCTTCAATGGTTGGTTGAAGTGCCAATTGCTTTTCTGAGAAGGCATCAATGACTTGAAACATGTTATATATGAGAATGTGTTAGGTTTGTGAAATAGGTTATTAAATATGAACAGAAAGTGTAAAATTGTGCAGTTGGAGACGTACATTCCCATATAAGGGTTCCCTGTTGGTCAATCTGCATATATCTGAAAAGTATACGCAATTTTCATCTTCGCTGCCAGACCAGACACAAGCACTTGATTGTGTGTTGTTGATGAGTTGAATTTGGTCTTGGTCTTTTTTGGATAGGCTTTGCCAAACCTTGTTTGTTTTGCGGCAAGAAATTGCGAGTGGCTTGTTTTGGATTGATTCTTCCTTAAAATCATGATCACTTTCCAATACTTGAAGTTGTGTCTTCTCTTGATTGGCATGCTCTTTTGGGTTGGTTTCAGCAGCAATTGCTTTCTCTTGGCCAATATCTTCTTGCATCTTTTCTTTCTGCTGTTGTTTTGCTTCATGAGCACCCTCTTTTTGCTCGGGTTCAGTAGCAGGTTCTGTCTCTGTTTTGATTTCTTCTTTTTTCTTTTCATTGTTCTTCTCTTTTTCTTCATCGGTACCCTCTGTTGGTTTGGGTACATTAGCAGCAGTTTGTGTCTTGTTCCTTGTATCTTCTTTGGCTTTTGTCATTGGTTGGTATTCAAAATCTGGATCATGTGCTTGTTTTCTTGACTTTTGCTTGATTCTCTTGACCATTGATCTTTGTTGGGGACTGCTAGTTTTTTTGGTGGACATTTCCTTCAATTGATCTTTTTTACGCAATTCAGTCATGAATTTTTGTTCCATATCTTGCATTTGTGCTCTCATGACTGATATGAGCTTGTCCTTGTCGTCCTCTTTGGTTGGTGTTTGTGGTTGGTCACGACCTATAAAAATGTTGGATTGTGTTTTGGTTAGTTTAATTAAATTTTACAATTTGCTTTAGTATTAGACAATAGTTTACCTTGTGCATGAAATATGTCAGATTTCTTTTGGAATTCTTCTTGTTGGTTTGTCAATTCTTGTTCATTGACTTGTTGTTGTTGGTTTGTTTATTGTTCTTCTTGTTCTTGTTGTTGGTCTTCTTCTTCATCAGTGTCTTCTGGTTGATCACCTTTTGCTTCTTGTCTTTCTTTTGCTTCATCATTGTCTTGTTGTTTATCAGGTTCTTCTTCTTCTTTTTCTTCTTCTTCAGCAGCTTCTTCTTCATCAGTCACTTGTGTTTTTTCTTCATCACTCTCTTCTTCTTGTTCATCACTTTCTGGTTCTTCTTGTGATTTTTGCTTTTTTTTTGTTGTTGTTGTTGTTGTTGTTGTTCTTGTTCTGATTCTGATTGATATTCTTCTTCGAGAAAGTCATCCTCATCACTGTTTAGAAGTCTTTTTTTTTGTTGCTTTTGTTTTCTTTTTTCGCTTATTGTCTTTTTTGTGGTCATGTTTCTTTTCTGAAGAGTCTGTTGATGTACTTTGATTGATATGCAATAACTGTATTTCTTGTTCAGTTGGGGTTAAAGCACTTTGGTTAACCTGCATTGGAACAATGTGACATATATCAGTAATACTGTAAAATTGGTCAGTTTCATAAGATGAGTTGTACTGTGAGTAATATGGGTTAAGTGTCGAAATATATTGCTTGAAACTGAAAAATTTTACAGTTTCATATTATGAGTGATGTGAAATAGATTTGTGCGTTTAAACTGTAAACTTTTGTAGTTTCATAACATGAGTGATGTTAAATAAGTGTGTGCTTTGAAACTGCAAACTTTTACTGTTTCATAATATGATTTGTGCTGTGAATAATGTGAGTCAAGTGTTGAACAGATTTGTGAAAGGAGTGTTGAATAGATTTGAAACTAAAGAATTTGACAGTTTCATAACATGATTTTTACTATAACGACTGTGAAAGGAGTGTTGAATAGATTTGTGCTATGATAATATAAAAGAATTTGAATACCTTTTCAAAGTGAGCAAGACTGATGTGTTTCCACTTGGAGTACATTTTGCCAAGGTTCCATTTTATAAACCTTGGAAAGCCTTCTTTATTGGATGGTCGAAGGAGTTTACTGTGCTCACAGTACCAGTACTGCAAAAAAAAATTGAAATATGTTAGTTAAAAATAGGTGGATGTCTGATATTTTTGTGTGAACTAGTTGAGTAATGTGTTTACCAAGAGTAACATGACGTATCCAGTGATATGCCTTGGTTTGTTGTTTGCATTTGCCATTGAATTCATCAGTGTGTTTTTTATTGCCTCAACCCAATTGTACTTCTTGATGTTGTTGAGATTGTCAACATAGTTGAGGAAACTCCAACTGAGTGTATAGCCTGTTGTAGGCATGAGAAGTTTCAAGCACAAGTAAAGGGTGATGACCCTTGCAAGATCTTGACGATCATTGGTTGATTTTCCTTTTGTTGTTTGTTGAAACATTTTGGTCAAAGACTTGCCATCCAATCTCTTAACTGATTTGCATCTTCGTTTGTAAAATAGAAGTTCAAAATCCTTTGGTCTTGCATAAGATTTGGTGGTGATGCTGTCTTCTTCACAGTCGATATAAAAAATGAGCTTGATATCACTGTTTATGAGTTTCATTTCCTTTTTGCCAAGCATAAATGTTCTTTTTCTTTTGTTGTAGATTGTTGTCATTTCTGCTACAATGGAATTGTAGCATCTGCACCAAGAGGCCTTCAGTTGTGTTGAGGAGAGAGCATTTATAATGGGCCAAAAAGAGATTTTTTGCAGCTCTGTCTGTTGGACTTTTGTGAATTTGACCCCCTTCAACAGTTTGATTACCGTTCCGATGTTGGAACGGTAATTAAATTGTTGGACTCTCTTTGCAGGGACTGCTGCTTTTTTCCCTTTTGATGCCTTGGTTTTTGTTATGGGAGTTGATTGGCTTTCTTGGAGCTTTCTTTTTTTGGTTGGAGGAGCTTATTGTTTTTTTGTTGGCTTTCTTTTGTTTGTTTTTGTTGTGGTTGGAGGTGTGGTTGGTGTTTGTTGTGTGGGTGGAGTTTGTGGTGTAGTTCTTGGGTTTTTTCTTGTAGGTAGTGTGGTTGTTTTGTAAGTTTTTTGGTGGGGTCTGTGGTGTTTGGTTATTTTTAGTTGTGGTGGTTGGGTTTTTTGTGGAAGGGAAGATGTTGGTGGCATTTCAGTGAATACAGGAGACGGACTTTCAAAAGGGGAGATACTTAAATCCCTGATTAGATTTTTGGGCATATGGGTTTGTTTCTTCCAATATCTTCCAACAGCTATTTCTGAAAAAATGAAAGCGATAGTAGGGTATGAGTAATATAGTGGCAAAACTGTATAATTTTGAAGTTTTATATGCAGTTTAATATGAAGTTATATGTATTTGTTGGTAACAGTTACGAAACTGTATAATTTGACAGTTTGATTTGCACTTTATAATAAGTTACCTATTTGTTTTGAGTAGTGATTAAACTGTGTAATTTTGCAGTTTCATTTGCAGTTTGAATAAATTTAGATATGTTACTTGTAGAGTGATGAAATGAAACTGTATGATGTTGCAGTTTTTATAAACAGTATCAACAATAGGAACAACCCATTGTATTTTGTAAACAGCAACAATAACAACGAGAAGATTGAGTATTCAAAAATAACAACAATAAGAAAAGGCAATATTGAACAACAAGAATAAGAATAAGGTGTTGAATGTGTAAAAACAGGGATTTGCGTAAAAACAGTGGATTAAAATGTTTAAAAGCAGGGGACTAGAATGTTGTAAAACAAGGGATGATATATGAAAGAGGGTTTATACATTTTGAAGTACGTAAAATGTATATATACGAAATATGAAAGAATAATGTACAAATTTGAATGAAAAATAATGAATAGGTGAAGAGAGATGTTACTTTTTTTCCTTATTTCTGTGAATCAGAAGTCAGAAACTATGAAATTTCTTCAAAGTGGTGATGGTCTTTCGTGTTCTTGAGAGTCGCCGATTGGAGAATATGAACGGCTTGGTGTTGTGTTGAAGATGAACGGTTTCGTTTTGTGGTTAGGGTAGGGTTTCAAAGGGAATAGAGTCGAACGGAGGAGAGATGGAGGAGTAAGAATGCGATTTCGAGCGGCGAAGATGTAACAGTGTACTGATCAGACTGAGATGATCGTGAGTGATGTAGATGAATGGTTTCGTTTTGTGGTTAGGGTAGGGTTTCAGAGGGAATGGAGTCGAACGGAGGAGAGATGGAGGAGTAAGAATGCGATTTCGAGCGGTGGAGATGTAACAGTGTACTGATCAGACTGAGATGATCGTGGGTGATGAAGATGAACGGTTTCGTTTTGTGGTTAGGGTAGGGTTTCAGAGGGAATGGAGTCGAACGGAGGAGAGATGGAGGACTGAGAATCCGATTTCGAGCGGCGGAGATGTGACACTGTACTGATCAGACTGAGATGATCGTGGGTGATGGTTGCGTGCGTGTAAATTGGATGATATATTGTGGGTATTTTCGTCTTATTAATAATTTGAGGACTTAATGGAGTATTAAATTTGTTTTGGCCCTAAATGGGATATGATATGTTGGGTTTGGACCTTTGGGTCAGTTCCCCATTACATAAAGATACAGTAGTTTAAAAAATCAGAATGACATTACGAGTTCAGTGATAAGAAAATCATACCTTCTCAGCAGGCTGGCCTGTCTTGTTAGGCAACTCATTAAAAAGGTAATCTCTGATTCTGAGGAGCTCATTTGCTTCATTACGAATGTCATCAGCCTGTCAAAAGATACATGAATGTATGCAAGGGTAGCTTATCCACAGCAAGATTCTTATGACAATGATAATATACAGTCACATACCTGACCACGAGCAGCCCCAGCTGGAGATTGCAGTGCAATTCTTGAAAGAGGCATTGCAAAGCGATTACCCTTCATAAGAAGAAATAATTATTAGAGACAAAAAAACCTAGATATTCAGTTTTTATTTTTATTTTTTATTCATCTGAGTTAAAATACAGTCAAGACCACAATCTCCTAAGTTAATGAGTATCCTAATTCAATAATCAACCATCCAACTCATCATATATACATTGAATGTGTAACTAATATGCTGACAGTCCCTAAACTTAAGTCTGCGGAACAGATATTTGATTAGAAATAGACAAAAGGGTTTCTCCCTGTTCAAATATCATGACTTAAAACAGCCAAATGACTATTTGGTATGGTGTACCAATACCCACACATTATACCATATGTTATTGTAATATTGCTATATTGTCCCCAGAAGCCAAATTTTACTTGCCAGGTACTAATCAGTGTGAGTGTATTTATATGTGTGTGTATATATATATGTGTATGTATTACCTTTTCTCCAGCTGCAAGAAGAAAGCCTGCCAAATTATAGGCATAACCCACACAATGGGTCCCAACAGGACTTTTCAAGCTCTGCATTGTGTCGTAGATAGCCATGCTTGGAGTAAGCTGCAAACAAAGTCATGTTCAATAAGAAAGTGAATCATGTTTTTTAGTAGAAGACATGATAAAAGACATGATCTATGAATAACTCACATCTCCACCAGGACAATTGATATACATATACATCCTTTTGGAAGAATCAATACTGTCAAGGTACAACATTGTTACCAGTATTTGGTTGCTAAATTTTTCATCTATATGTTGCCCAATGAAGATAACCCGTTCACGGTACTGCACGCCAAGAATTCAGTGAATTTCTTAAAGAATATAACAAATGTGTACTTGTGTAAATAAGTACACAATTTTACGGAAACATCAACCATGCAGAGACAAACATTTAGGGTAAAAAAAAGATCAGTACACAATTTCTTACAACATACTGTTCCAGGCGACTCCTAGTCCTAGGTTATTTAGACTAGAGACAAATCTCAAAAAGAGTGCCACACTCATGATAATACTCTGTAGCTAGATTGCCAACAATTTAATTGGAGAAAGTAGCCATAGTGACTTACAAGGGCATTTCACAGATCAACCCATTGCCAAGTTCCCTCGCCAGGAGTTCTATAGGGCACTCTTGGTGTACCTATGGGCATCATTCCAATACGTGCTCGTGTTGGTTTACTATCACAAGTCCTGAAGATAGAGAAATGAGTCAATGTATAGAGTCCCATATGAATGCAGCTATTACATCAATCAAGCATAAACACTCTAGTTTGAGTAGAACGTGGTCGCACAAAGATATATACAATATTTAAGACAATATAGACATTAGATACACTATTAAGGTTACAAAATAGTTATGATAGACAAGTTCAATAGATGTAAAAGAATAAATTTTCAAAATTTCAATGAAAACAGTGCATTTCATTCTTATGTCCGTAATCGAAAAAATAAATAAGTTTACATAGTTTGCATAAGAACTTGCTTAATTATATTCAGATTCTTCCAAAACATTCAATTATATACTAATATGTCTCATAGAAAAGAATGAAAATCATAATAACAAGTGAGAGTTATGTGACTAAAAGTTGTTCAAGTATATACAGAATAATAAAGTTTAATATATGAAATACACATCAACACAATAACAAGCATCCACCAAGATAAAAATTCAAAGAATTAATTACAATTTAGCACTGCTCATGAATAATAGACAACTTTTACAAAATTTCAGACAAGGAAAGATGAGAAAAACACAGTTTATACCTTCTTCACTGACCCAATATTCAAAAAATTCAAAAAGCCAGGAGGGAGAAGAAGCAGTAGCAGCTTATTTCACAAGAATTTTAGTCCTTGATACATCCACAATAATATTCTTAATTCTATGGCAGAACATTCCACAAGCATTTTAATTTTTCTTTTCACCACTCATACAGAATTCAAATTGTTGTCCCATTCCCCGTAGACTCTGCAATACCATAGTTTCTTGCTCCCAAACTCTACCGTGTTCAACAATTTATCTGGCAGGTCAATTGTGTTTGTGCAGCTTTATGCACAAAAATTTGAATCAAACCCATAAAAAACATGAAAATTAAGCATTCACTGTTTAATCAAATACACTTGCAAAAGTTTCCATTTTTCTAATCACAAAATAGAGCTTCAATAAATTCTGTGTTCTTATATATGAATTAAAAATTTTGTACATTTGTTTCGATACTGATAAATTCAATGTCGATTTTGGGGTAGTACAATGAATTAAACATACAAATCTAATTTTAGAATAATTCAATAATGATGAAAAAATAAAACCCGAAATTTAGGGGAAGAAAAGGAAAACCCAGATATCAGAATACCTGGATTGGATGCTCTTATGAACTTTATTGTGGAATTCAACATTCGAGTTAGGTTTTGCAATGCCAAACGAACCTGCCAAGAATTTGATGAAAACACAAAGATTTATAAAATTAAACCCGCTCCCGCTCCCGCTCCCGCTTCGTGCAACTAAGCGACTTCTCTCTCTCTCTCTCTCTCTCTCTCCCTCACCCACTTTCTCTCTCTCTCTTCGACTCTCTCCCCTTTCGAACTCATCATCTCTCACCCTCTCCCTCATTTCTGTTTCTTTTTATTTTTCTTTCCATTTCTATTCCGATGGTGATGGTAGTGGCAGGGACGGATGAGGTCAGTTAACAATGATGTTGGTGTTGGCGGCAATGAGCGATGGCAATGTGATGAGTGAAGGTGGTCGCCACAGCGATAAGTGAAGGCGGTCTCCCTCTTTCACTTCCCCCCCCCTCCCCTCCCCTCATTTCCTTTGCTTTACTCGCTCTATCACAGATCTGTGATCTATAAGTGTATATACATAAACTCAATTTGTTGTTTTGAACTCTCAAATCCATTTTTTTCAAAAATTCCTACCGGATTTTCGAAATCAACCGAACCGACCGCCAAACCATGACTTTTGAGTCGGTCGACGACGGGTAGCTGGTTTTCTAACTCGAATGTGTCGGTTTGGCTGACGGTTTAAGGGTAAAACCGACCTGAACCGACCCGTGCACACCTTTAGAACGAACAAATCTGTGAGATGGTAAAGGTAGCAGATGTTGAAGAGAAAGAGGAAAAATTGCCTATGATGTTCTACCCCCATACAACATAAGCCTATAATTACACAAATTAGTAATAGTGATACTGTCCATATTGCAGGTAATGCAAGGGGACAAGAAAGAACGAATTAACTTGGATTAAAATAAGAAACGATATGTTAACTTGTGGTTTAGCTAAAATTATAACCCTTGATTGTACAGAATGGACAAACAAGATTCGCGTAGCCAATCCCAAATAATTGAGACAAGACTTAGTTGAGTTATTTGAGTAGGAATACCTCATCTGAATCTACTAAGTTGAAAGAGTATCCTAATCCAATAAACATGGCCAACCTATCATATATCCGTTTAATGTATAGTTACCATCCAAAAGCCCAAAAGAAGTCTGTGAACATAAATTTGTTATTAGAAATAGACAAAAGGATTTTCCCTGTTCAATTATAGTAGCTTGAAGTAACCAAATAGCTCACATGGTACACCAACAATCACAGATTATGCCTTGTGTTATTGTACTACTATTTGCCAACAGGAGAAATAAATATATTACCTTTTCTCCAGCTGCAACAAGAAAGCCTGCCAAATTATAGGCATAGCCCACACAATGGGTTCCAACAGGGCTTTTCAAGCTCTGCATTGTGTCATAGACAGCCATGCTTGGAGTTAGCTGCAAAAAGTGCATGTTCTTAGCAAAAAATAAATAGATTCTACAGAAGATTTTAAATAAGAAAGCAAATCATAGTTTAGCAAAAGACATGACAGATGAACAACTCACATCACCACCAGGACCATTGATGTACATATACATCCTTTTGGAAGAATCAATACTGTCAAGGTACAACATTGTTACCAGTATTTGGTTGCTAAATTTTTCATCTATATGTTGCCCAATGAAGATAACCCGTTCACGGTACTGCACGCCAAGAATTCAGTGAATTTCTTAAAGAATATAACAAATGTGTACTTGTGTAAATAAGTACACAATTTTACGGAAACATCAACCATGCAGAGACAAACATTTAGGGTAAAAAAAAGATCAGTACACAATTTCTTACAACATACTGTTCCAGGCGACTCCTAGTCCTTGGTTATTTAGACTAGAGACAATTCTCAAAAAGAGTGCCACACTCATGATAATACTCTGTAGCTAGATTGCCAACAATTTAATTGGAGAAAGTAGCCATAGTGACCGGTGGCGGAGCCAGAAATTTAATATAGGGGGGGCACTTATTAATTACAATCTCAAATTTTTTCCCCCCAATCAATAACGATAACATAATAATAATTTTTGAGCTAATGTTAAACATTAAAAATTAATATTCATTACAAAAAAAAATTTAATTTTAAACTTTTACAATTGACCCCGACGAGTTTTCATCTTTTGAAATCTTTCCATAATAGTATCATTGTTAATGCCATAAAAAATATCTCTCTCAATGTAAACAACCAAGCTACCATTCATCCATTCATCACCCATTCAGTCCTAGGGTTAATTTCGTGAATAAATGGGGAACTAAGGGTTTTTACTTTTAACTGATTTTTTGCTAATTTCTATTAATAGTTTAATCAAGGTATTATTTTGTTCTATTATTATTTGTAAAGAAATATTACTATTTAAGTTATCAGATTCTATTTCTTCACTATATTTAACACTCATACAAATGTTATTAGCAAGGCCGAGAAATCAGGCTCTGGTATCAATTTCAATTGCAAATTTTGAGAATTTAATTTAATATTAACTCTTTCAACAAAAATTGTTGGTAATCGATACTTGCCTTTTCTAAGGATATTTTAGTTTTAATCCTGACAATTCTCTGGTTATAATTTATTATAGATTATTCAGAAGCAATAACCAAAAAAGAATGTAATCTATTTAACTTACTTTATAATTTAGAAATATAATCTAAACTATCTTTTATTTCAACTCTAACTGTTGTAATTAAACAAATATAATTATTAATTAAGTATTCAAATTTTCATTATTATTATTATTCCCGGTACTGCACCCCAAAAATTTAGTGAAATTCTTAGAGAATATAACAAAATGTATAGATTTGTAGAAAATTATTCAGAAAGTAACCATCGACCCCACAGAGGAAGATGTGGCACATGGAGGGGGAAATATAAACCACATTCTCTGGGAATCACTCAAAAAATTCAGCACAAAATTTGGCAAGGTCGTTACATGTACTACTAAGAGATAAATGTCTAGATTTTCTAACAAGACAAAATGTTCCAAATTCTAGGCAACTAAGGTGAGAGAGAAAATGCCCAAAGAGTGTCACATCCAAGATAGTTTTGTTGTTCCAGGGTCAAAAAAAAGTTTGCCTACTAATTTGATTAGAGAAAGTAGATGTAGTCACTTACAAGGGCATTCCACAAATCAACCCACTGCCAAGTTCCCTCACCAGGAGTTCTATAGGGCACTCTTGGTGTACCTATGGGCATCATTCCAATACGTGCTCGTGTTGGTTTACTATCACAAGTCCTGAAGATAGAGAAATGAGTCAATGTATAGAGTCCCATATAAACACTCTAGTTTGAGTAGAACGTGGTCGCACAAAGATATATACAATATTTAAGACAATATAGACATTAGATACACTATTAAGGTTACAAAATAGTTATGATAGACAAGTTCAATAGATGTAAAAGAATAAATTTTCAAAATTTCAATGAAAACAGTGCATTTCATTCTTATGTCCGTAATCGAAAAAATAAATAAGTTTACATAGTTTGCATAAGAACTTGCTTAATTATATTCAGATTCTTCCAAAACATTCAATTATATACTAATATGTCTCATAGAAAAGAATGAAAATCATAATAACAAGTGAGAGTTATGTGACTAAAAGTTGTTCAAGTATATACAGAATAATAAAGTTTAATATATGAAATACACATCAACACAATAACAAGCATCCACCAAGATAAAAATTCAAAGAATTAATTACAATTTAGCACTGCTCATGAATAATAGACAACTTTTACAAAATTTCAGACAAGGAAAGATGAGAAAAACACAGTTTATACCTTCTTCACTGACCCAATATTCAAAAAATTCAAAAAGCCAGGAGGGAGAAGAAGCAGTAGCAGCTTATTTCACAAGAATTTTAGTCCTTGATACATCCACAATAATATTCTTAATTCTATGGCAGAACATTCCACAAGCATTTTAGTTTTTCTTTTCACCACTCATACAGAATTCAAATTGTTGTCCCATTCCCCTTAGACTCTGCAATACCATAGTTTCTTGCTCCCAAACTCTACCGTGTTCAACAATTTATCTGGCAGGTCAATTGTGTTTGTGCAGCTTTATGCACAAAAATTTGAATCAAACCCATAAAAAACATGAAAATTAAGCATTCACTGTTTAATCAAATACACTTGCAAAAGTTTCCATTTTTCTAATCACAAAATAGAGCTTCAATAAATTCTGTGTTCTTATATATGAATTAAAAATTTTGTACATTTGTTTCGATACTGATAAATTCAATGTCGATTTTGGGGTAGTACAATGAATTAAACATACAAATCTAATTTTAGAATAATTCAATAATGATGAAAAAATAAAACCCGAAATTTAGGGGAAGAAAAGGAAAACCCAGATATCAGAATACCTGGATTGGATGCTCTTATGAACTTTATTGTGGAATTCAACATTCGAGTTAGGTTTTGCAATGCCAAACGAACCTGCCAAGAATTTGATGAAAACACAAAGATTTATAAAATTAAAGTGAAAAAAAAAAAGTGAACATAATTTGAGAAGCATGAGCGTACTACTCGGAGATTGAAGCTTCAATCCCATAAAAACCTTGGTCGTACAGCTGCCAAAGGAAACAAAAAATTCCAATTCCAGATTCAATGAAATGTATACAACATACACACATATACATTATATGTATACAGAGAGAGAGAGAGAGAGAGAGAGAGTGAACCTGGGGGAAGGCTGAGGAACTCCACTTCGGGAGTGTAGACAAGAGGTAGAACTGGTTGTATGGAGAGAAACTGCCATTCTAGAGAGAGAGAGAGAGGGAGAGAGAGAGACCTTTGCTGGGTGAAAGAGGATGATGAAGATCGGCCTGGGAACTCATTATAGCCGTCGGATCATTTAAAATTTTTATATCTGTTTTTGTAAAATTTTCAAAAATCTACATTGTTAAAAAAATTGGAAAAAAAAAACATTTTACATATTTTTTCTTTTATAAAGCAGAATTCATTTTTTAAAATTAAAAAAAAATTAATATTTATTTTTATCAAATTAATTTATAATAATTTTTTAAAATTTTAAAAACTTAACTAAACAAAGCTCGCACAAATTTGATTTTATGTTGCCTTTGGATCAAAATAATTTTCATCTTATGCCCCTTGATTGTTATTTCTTAATATATTTTTATTTTGAAAAAGTACAGTACATTGATTTAAGCCCATTCAATACTAAACCCAAAGATAAATTTGTTGCGTTAAATTCTAACAATTTGAGCCTAACCCAAACTACTTGAGTTAAACTCGAGCTCGAGGTTGAACAAGCCCGTTCAGGCAAACCCCATCTACACTTCAGATTGAGCATGAAAAGATTCTCGTCAGTCTGTTCAAACCTGCCCCAATGGCATCTCTAACAAGCCAGGAGAACATATGATATGAGGTGCCTTGTGCAACACTTGAAATTTATGGTTTCATAAAAAAATTAATAAATAAGTAAAATTTTATTTAAAAATCACAAGCTCCTCGTATCAGTAAAATCCCAACTTCATGAATCATATCATAATCAAACTACATTTCCCGGAGAAAAAAATTCTGTCCACCAATAATCCATGACCATTTCTAAAAGGAAGCACGGCTTCCTCAGAAGAAAGAACTGTAATTGGTGTGTCTTACAAATGCAATTCACTACCAAAATGGAAAAGGCAAATAATTTATATGTTGGTGAGTTCACATAAGCTTTTCAAACAGTTATACAGTGCATATGAATAATGGAATCTTGAGATATAAACCTAAATCAAGCGGGCTTCTCATAGGAATTCTGGTCTCTGAACTCTGCAATAGCACTTCTTATCATTTCCGTCGCATGGGGTTGCACAAAAAGATGAGTATTATCCAAGACATGTATTATGAACTTCTGTGATGTGGGTAGTGACTTGTTCATGTTTATGATGAATTGTGCCATGGGTATGTCGCTGCAAGAAAGCAGAGCAGATTGTTAACAAGGATTAAAATTAATGCCGTACTTGTCATATCAACAACAATCAAAATCATGCAAGTATAAATAGCTGTGGTATGAATGATAACATTATTTAGTATAGTTTGGTTATGTAACTGTCTCTGATTCTGAAATTCCGGTAGTAATTAGAGCAAGCATTGGTAAGTCTTGTCTCTTGTACCACCATCGTAATCATGTTTTGATTTAAGTTGGATTGCAGTCAATGTGACTCTGGTTTTCACCTTTGTTGAGGGTTTTCATGTGTATCCTGGAGTTGTCTTGTTGCATTGTTTGTTTCCGATTTTCTTGATTCTTAACTCACTTATGTTCAGGTTTCATGGTTAGTGGTTAAAAAACTCAACTAAAATTGGCATTAAAATTTGATCTGGGTGATAATTCTAACAGTGGCCCAGCTTCAAGCTCCTTATCATTGAAATCATTTGGAAGATTTCAAATTCAAATTCTTTAAAACAAAAAACACTCCAGCATTATTTTTAATTTTCAAAAACACTCCAGCATTATTTTTAAATTTTAAAAACACACCTGCGGATACATGCACAAACTACAACAACGAGAAACAACCAATTTAGCACTTGGTGAGCTCTCTGTGGTTGCCAAACTTTTCCTAAAGCATGCCTATGTAGTCCCCAAATAAAGGTCGAGGTGAAAAACAGAAAGTTACCATGAAATGAACTGTCCTTTGATTACGTTAACCATGATGTAGGAGCAACTTAGGAGTATGACCTGCAATATAAACCAATACGAGATAGGAGCATCAAAAAACAATCATACCTATACAGATCAAGATGTTTCAAATAAAATAACAAAATGGAGCTAAACCATTATAAACATTGAAGTTGATGCTCTACATTCTTAGATACTTGATAACTCTGATCAACTTATTTATTTATTTATTTATTTTTGTGTATATATATTACCCAAAGGTTTTGTACCTAAAATGGTAATATCTATTGCTTTCTATCATGGAATTATGCATATTTTGTCAACACTACCGTGGGAAAATGGCCTCTAATCGCAACGAAATGATTTGAAAAGACCTTTGCAGAACTCTTTTACCATAAACACTGTTGCTTAGTCGTGTAATGAACAAAGCAACATACACCACCAAAACAACTTTGACTTCAACCCTACCATCTATCCCTCCTCAAGCAAAACTACATAAGAAGCTACCACCCTGCACCCTCAGACCTCCATTTTATGACAGTCAGTTCGCTTACAACAAAGAAATCCAACAAGAAGGAACAAATGGAAAAAGAAGGAAAAATAAAAACAAAACTAGAGGGTCAAAGAATTCATATGTTTGTCTTTTTAATTAAGGGACATGCTAATGACAGCCCCCACAGGCTGTTGTGAAGGTGAAGATAATGCCGAAATAGTTAGAATTTTAATACACTTTTCACAAATTTCTATACATTTTTTACACATACATCGAGTCTAATGGCCACCCATTGGGCAGTCATTACCATTTTTCCTTTAATCAAAGCCCATAAAATAAGGAGGCAATCCTTAACAACCAAGAAGGTGGTGGTCATTGTCCGTTTTAAATCCTCTTCTACTAGGTCAGTGAAGCACTGGCATTGCAAAGGAGAACCAACAATTTAAACGATATATGATACATGTGAATTTTGCCAACTCATATGAATTTCGAGCATATGATACATCCAGAACAATGATCCTTAGAATAATTTTTTTTTTTTTTTGGGTGTGACAATCAATTTAAAAGAATGTAGTTAACCTAAAGGCACTGTCTTGTTTTGTCTTCTACATCATAGAAATCCAAAATGAGTTCCCAAATTGAAAGTGGAAAATCCATGATCATGTGTATCTCTTTTAAACACACAAGCATTGAAGCATACATATTATATATTTTGATCTAGAAAACAACGGTTTCGATAATTAATGGCAGTCAACAGGAATATATATATATATATATATATTAAACATTCACATGATTAATAATGGAATAGAATCGATTAATCGATTATCATCAAATTAAGGAATTGGTTTATAATTTCACATAATTAACACACACACACACACACACAAAAAGGAAATAAAGCCCACAAAATTTGTAATCAGGGCACATAGAGTTGCAGAGGGGGAGAGGGGAGAGGGTTTCGCGGCGATGGAGGTGGGGGGGAGAGAGAGAGAGAGAGAGAGAGAGAGAGAGAGAGAGAGATAGAGTCATTACCAGATCTCGGTTCGAGGGCTTCAATGGTGGAATTGCTGCTGCCTTCACTTCAACAATGGAAGCGAAGCGACACAGATTGGACTATCGAGTCTGAGTTGGATTGGATTATAATTTATAGGTTATTTAATAGTTTGATTTTAAAATTTTATTTTTTTTAAAATGAGTTTAAAATTATCTTGTTTAGTTAGAAACACGTAATTTTAATATTTTTCTTAGTTTTTTATAAATAAAAAAAAAGTAAAAAAAATAGAGAAATTGATGTGATAACTTATGATGGGTATGTTTGGTTTGTGTTTGAGATATGTGTTTTAGAGATAAAAAGTACGAAAAGTTGCATGGTTTGGTTTTTTTCAAAAGATGTTTTGAAAAATTATTTTGAGAGAGAGTTTTGGAAAAAGTGATTGATTTGATGTGTGTGAGAGAGAGATTTGTTTGAAAAACTTGTTTGATTTACAAGTTTTGAGAAATTTTTTTTGAAAAAATTTGTTTGGTTTCATTACTTTTAAAAACTTATTTATAGAGAAAATTTCCCAAAAATTTTTCCGAAATTCAAACCAAACGAACCCGATGATTTTTGAATTTTTAGAGTAAAATATATAGTTATCAAATAAGACCTAAGTGCTCGTTTGGCATGCCAAAAGTTGGGATTAAAAAACTATTTTAGCCACACAAAAAAAAAAAATGCAAAAAAATTAATAAAACAAAATATCACATCTAAACTATAATTATTTTATTTTTTTCCTTATAAAAGTCAAAAAAATCAAAAAACCTATCTCAAACAAGACTTTTTAATCCAAGGTAAAATAGCTAAAAAAATCAAAAAACCAAGGGGTTGTTTGGGGTGTCTTAAATAAATGCATTTTTTGTCTTTTTAGACTAAAAAATTGAGGAAAAAAATATTTGGGTTAACTTTTTGACTTTTTATGGAAAAATGTGTATTAAAAAATTATATAAATTAGTATGGAGGAGAAAATTATGATTGAGAGTTGTGCAGCCGTAATTTTTTATTTTTGGTGAATAGTGATAACTTTTTAACTTTTTGAGTAACTTTTTGATTTTTTTTCAACTTGTCAAACTTGGCCTAATTCACATCCCAAACGAATCCTAAATCGATTTTTTAAAGAGTTTTTAACAAGTGAAATATGAATTTTGGGAACTTTGATAACTTAGTTTTTTATAATGCATAAAAATTTATAGAATTAACTTATTTATGTTTAATTTAAAATTTTAATAAATTTTAAAATATATTTAAGCTTGATTTGTTTATATAATGAACAAGCTTCAGATCATCTTTTAATAAGGCAAATAAGCTCAAGTCACTTGGTTAATTTAAAAAAGAGAATATGAAATTTTGTACAAAAATAATGTGACATGTCATTTGTTTAATTAAAAGCATTTCAATAAAGCTATTACTATTTTTTCCACAAAAAAAAAAAAAAAAAAAAAAAAAAAAAAAACAGCTATTTGCTCTAAAGTAATTAGCTCAAAACCTGCCCAAATCATAATGTACGCATTTTTTTTTTAAATAATTTATTTGCATAGCTAACTTGTATTGGAGGCACAAAAACGAAGATGCAGATTTTACTGAGAATGTTGAATGCTCTAAGCTGTCCAATTTACCAAAATATTAAAAGACAAAATAAAACATAAAAAATACATTTTCTTGAAAAAAAATCACAGAAAAGTTTTCCTATCAGGAATCATTACACTCAGAATCATATTAAAGGGGAAATAATTTAGTAATTGCAGGGTAGCACAAGGCATACGTCAAGCTGTGTACATGAGTATGATATCTCCTTATGATTAAAAGAAAAATAAAAGAAACACATATCTCTTTCCAAACACTGCTTAAAGTCTCCATCAAAGTAAATCAAAAGATCACCTTTCACATAAAATGCAGGAAGAAGGGTGGCAACAGAGCTGTTCTCAGACCACTTCAATAGTTATGCTAAAAAAAAAGAAAGAAAAAAAAGAAAAAAGATGAGTCAAATAAAAAGCTCAGGTTACAATTCTTTCAATTAACACTTGCCCCAAACCGTTCATTGGACAAAAATCAACAAATATCTGCCAATCATACAACACTATAAGAAAATGGCATCACAATCAAATCTGAAACCAGGGGTAGCCTAACAATAAACTCTGCAACACTTCAAATTACATCAAATACATTGGACCTAGCCTCAAAAAAATAAAACAGCATCATGGGTTCTATTGCTCCAAAACAGGCATTGGTTGCTCATGGCACCCAATGCTTTCTCCTTTCAGTGTGAGAATGTAAGTTAGAAATCCCGCTCGTCCTCTTCCAATGCGCTCCAAATCATCCTACACCATAAGAACCGGGAAAATTGTAATGCTTTACTAGTTTGAATAATTGAAAGAATAGTTTCTGAAAGGAGGAGACTTGTCTTGTGCAACATACCAAAATAAGGAGATGAAGAGGAGAAATATGAGGTAGCCAAGTTTGAAAAGTCGTTGCTTCTTTTCCCAATTAAGCAAGTTGAAAATCTCAGTTACATCTACCAGGTGCTTTCTTTGATTGTACCTAAACAGAGGAAGGGACGACTAAGCATGAGTAGTTTGATCCATAGTCAAATCAAATATCCAAGAATGCCATACCACCATATCAATGACAAATAAAAGTTGGCTATTAACATATAAACATAACAAGAATGTTGCTCTGTCTGGCAAAGTCATTATATTGCGGGTTAAATACATGCATGAGATAAAAGCTAACAATCTTGGATAATTTTTCTTTATTCAAATTATATAATAGCGGGACATCATAACCCAAATAACCATTGTTCATTCCTTTTTCTTTTTTCCCAAATAATCATTTGGGATAAAAAGGGAAAACCTTTCTTGAAGAAAAACATGTATCATGGCTGCACATCAGGAAAAGTTCATTTAGTAATTCTAGACATGAAATTCATCACTTGACCCTGAAAGAATAATACAAATAACATTTACTTACCAAAATATATTAACATAAAAAGACGAAACATCAGCGGCAGCCTATACTTCAGGGCTAGTAAGTGGAAAAATGATGAACTTGGTCTGTCTAAAACTATGCTGCTGCCTAGGCCTATACAAAATCTGTTGAGGAGAAGACCTTTCTAACTGTTGCCCGGCATGTAGGCAGTTGAATAGGATTCCTTTCAAAGCAAGGTTAGCTTGAAATTAAAAAATCAATGTTGTGATAACACATTTGATGTGAAGACACAACCAGTTGGGAAGGTAATTGATTTGGTAATACATTTCAAAAGCTGAAAGGGATAGGTGATAAATCTGAGATGGTAGGCCAAAATGCATTGGTACTGCCGTACCAATGAAAAAAAGGGTACGGTAAATGGTATGGTAGTTACAACTTTGGTCACAATTACATGGGAAAGTAAAACAAAGCCTATATTTTCTACACAAAAGTCTTCAATTCTGCATGTTGTATGAGGTTCGCATCTGAAGCACAAATTATGACTTAAGAAGTAAGAACACGCAGCAACTGTCATCAACTTGCAGGAAAAATGTCAGATGAGTTCAATCAATTCTTTATTTTTTTTACTTTAAGACCTCTCATATGACTTCTCTGAATCCACCGAATCTTGATCCCAATGAGGTATCTAAGGTGTTGGGAAACTATCTATGCACATAATTCTTTTGAAGCGATTCATATACAGTAAAATATAAAGTAGGTTAAATGATGCAAGCATTGAAATTGAAAACTAAATATATACCTCATTGCATGAGAAGCAAATACACATAGTGCAAAAAACATGCTACAAGACAAAGGAATAAATTAAAGACATGCCTGTGCTACTTATATAATTGTGTTAAGCCGAATCCCATTACTGTAGATGGTGGATAATTGATACTCTCTCTCTCTCTCTCTCTCCCTCTCTCTCTCTCTCATATATATGTTTGCATGCATCAGTAGTGTGTTACCACTCACATTTAGACTTAGATCCGACCTGAATTTAGGGTAAAGATGAAAACTTACAATCTCACATTGTAGTACAGGTATGGAGCACTCAAAAGCGACATAAACCAATGCCCAGTTATTAGATAGAGCAAACACAAGACTCCTTGGGTGAAATACTCTGGCAAAACCATCTTGTTTATCCGAGATGCAGAATCATATGGGTTGATGTAATCGAACTCCAAATCAGCCAAACACATGAGCTGCACAAAAACTCTTAACTGTTAGATTCCAAATTCTTTCATACCACAAAAAGCGGTGAGCAATTAAAAATGATGACACTATAGTGCTTGCTCAATTCCCCATACGACTTTTTGAAACTATGTATAACTTCTTTTTGTACATAACTTCAACTTTTGTTTTGGAAAACAAAAACTCTAATAAATTGCTTTAGACGTTCAACTAGTTTATTGACCCATGTTTATTTTTTTGATAATATCTAAATATCTTGTGTACGGTGTTATATGAACTCTTCTATTTCACCCAAAGTATTTGTGCCCACCGGAAATGACAAGAATATGGATGTAGGATATGAGTGCAACACCTATAACCAATTACCACACTTGAATACTCTTTTTTGTTTTTGTTTTTTTCTCAATGTTTGAAGTAGACAAAATTCACAATTGCTAGTAAAGAAACATTTCCAGCCTCTCACATGGATGAGAGATAGAAATTTCATATTTTTCCAAATAATAATTAATCATTTCTTGTTCACTCTTTCTCTCATTCAGTCAACATAAAATTTTTTCTTTCTTTTCATTCAAATTTTCACCCATTTTTTTTTTTTTTTTAATCTTTTCCTCTTTGTCTCTCTTGTCATTATGTTAAGAAGGGTCACAACATAAAAAAGGGCATTTTTTCCTTAAAACAATTAATTATTTCTCATTCCTCTTTCTCTCATTCAATCAATAGAAATTTCATTCTTTCTTTACATTCAGATATTCTCCCATTTTTTTTTATCTTTTCCTGTTTGTCTCTCTTGTCATTATGTTAAGAAGGGTTGCACCATAAAAAAAAAAATCTTAGTTACAAGCCATTGTGGATATGTAATGAATATTAAAATGTTACAAACTATTTTTGTGAGAAAAGTTATAAATCATTGTGATTTTGTCACGAACCATTGTGTTGTAGCTACGAAAGGGATACATTATGCACCTTTTAGGGGTATGTACTCACTTAATTATTTCCCTCTTTCACTCATTAGTATGAAACAACTTCAAAAATCTGTATACTGATTGTAATCTATAACTCAATACCATTCATGTACTAGGTGAATTATATGATGTTACTTCATTTTTGTAGTAGTGAATCATTATAGTTCAAATTTTTGGAACACATTTAGAGGGTTCTCATCACTTATTAGCTTAGGTGTTTTATTGATTTTAATAATTATCAAAACCATTTAAATCTGTCCTGACTCGTCCACTTCGCCTTGTCAATGTCTTGCTTTTGGCCCCCTCAATTATGGAATCCTGGCTCTGCCCGTGTGTATCTGAGTCCATGTAACACAATATATATATATATATATATATGATGGTGGAAGCACAAAAACTAGCAAAAGGCAAAGCTCTTGTACTCACTTATTAGTTGCATGTACCATCTCTGTCACGTGAAGTAGCCACAAAAGGCAGCACAAGTAATGTCAAATTGTTTATGGTCAGTAGATTAAGAAATCCCTAAGACAAAAGCATTTTTAAAAGAGAATTTGATATCTGTGACTACATTATGTTGTCTCATTCCCTAAGAGCTAACAGGTAGCAAGGATCCAGACCACTATTATTACTCCTTAACAGGGGAATGAATTCTACATCTTCTAATAAATAGTAGAACATGAAATCCAATTGACACCCTATTGCCAACATTAGAAACTGAGAGAAAGACAATATCATAGTAAGGATCAGCAAATGCAAGAAAATTACCTGATTTCTATAAAAAATAAAAAATAATAAATAATAAAAAATAAAAAAACTAGAGACTGCAATAAACTTAAAAAATCTATCGAACCAATCACTGCATTGGATATGCAAGGCAAATAAAATGTATAGCTAAAAATACGTATTACCTTTGTGAGCTCATATAATGTGAAAATTCATCCACGATGGCACAAATAGTTTTCTTCAAAATCATAAACAATAATGTAATCAAATGTGTGTGAATATGAGAATATGGATATTTTTCAACAACTCAATCTGTTGATTTTCTAATTAAGCTCTGAAGTTCATGGCTAATAACGCGAGATTATAAAGAATGTATTTAGGTAGTATTTTGTTTACTGGAATGAAGGTGTAGAATAGAATGATCATTCCATTAAAATATCTATTCTCACGTTTGGTTCACTAAAATATAAATGGAAATGCGTTGCAAAATTCACCATAATAACTGAATGGTCATTCCATAGGGAGGCTTGGAATGAGCATTCCATTCCATTCTACCCTTTATTTATTCTAGAGAACCAAATACACTAACTTAAATACAAACAAACAAACAAAGTTTATAAACTTTCTTTACAAATTAATGTGGAACCTTTCATGTTAGCTTATTGGATCCCATTTCACTTTCCAAAGTTTTATCACTAGATACCACATCAGTTTGTAAGAAATGTTTGTAAAAGAGAGTTTGTTGGTTGGTTTGTTTGTATAGCATTTTCCATTAAACAATCCCTAATCATGTAAAATTCAATAGGATGAAGGATAAAATATATACATATGAGGATTTCCAATTATATATATTCCCCCCAAAAATATACAACATAAAAAAAAAGAAAAAAAAAAACCCTAACTTAAGAATCCTGAAATTGCAAATATGTGATTAATATATTCAATTAACCATACAAATATGAAAATACATAGTTATATTAGAGAATTTGCAGGAGGGTTTTGGAGAATTGACCTGGTAAACGACAATGGCGAGAAGAGCGATGAGGATGAAGAAGAACAACAACCATGCGAATAGACTCCCCATGCTCTGTGTGTGTGTGTGTGTGTGTCTCTCTCTCTCTCTCTCTCTCTCTCTCTTCTCCTCTCCTATCCTCCCCTTTTGCTTGCTTTGATTTGTTTTACAGTAGTATTGAGAATGAAAAAACTTGAAAAAATAGAACAAAAATTGAAATGATTGTGAATCGAATCGCTGGGGCTTTGGTTTGCCAAGCTTTTTTACTGGGTTTGTAGAGAGCTAGAGAGGATCGGACTTGGAAGGAGATTTGTGTGTAACCATCGCATCGCGGAGAAGAAAGGAATCAAGAGAGAGCAACAGAGACACACTTGGAATCAAAAATCAAGCAGCTGGGTTGAGGGAAATCCTATTTCCACCCCCTAATTATCTCAGTATATTATTAATAAAAAATTATTTTAATGATAATTAAATTATTAACATTCATCAATCCTCATAATATTATATAAAAATATTTTTTATACATATCTTTTAAAAATAAAAAAAAATCTCAATGTACACATTTTGAGTACAAAAACTAAGCAGCAATGGTTGGTGACCCGAAATTCAGTGGTTCGAATGGTTCGAAATTGTCAAAACGACAAGCCAAAATGACGTCGTTTTAACAGTTTTGAACCATTTGAGTCACTAATTTTGTGGCCTCAAACATTTTTCAAAACTAAATCTTAATTTTTTCATTGTTACCTCTTTCCTTATTACATACTCTACACCATGGTTTTAAAAACCAGACCGGACCGGCCGGTTCAACCGGTTGAACCGGTGACCGGATGGGGTTCCGGTCCGGTCAGCCCCCTTAAACCGGCCAAATGGAAAAACCGGCCTATTTATTGAAAACCGATGAACCCACCGGTTAAATCGGTGAACCGGTCAACCCGGCCACGGTTTGACCGAACCAGACCGGTTTCAATTTTTTTTTTTAATTTTTTAAAATATTTTCAATTTAAAATAAAAAAATACCACGGCCTATTTTTTTTTCCATGGTTTTAAAAAATTTTAAAAAAATTCTGAAAATATTTTTTATTTAAAATAAAAAAATAATAAGTGCCCAAAAAAAATACGAAAACTATTCCGATCAATCAGCCGAACGTCCGGGAGAATGACTGGGAAGATGTGTTTTCAAAAGTAGTGGAGAATCAATTTTTGAAAACTCTAACTAAACACCACACTAAACACAACTTTAATTTTTTCATGCATAACTTTTTTTTTTTTGTTTGTAATTTTTAATCGGACAACTAATACCGAATTATTTCATTATATTCGGTTTTCGTAGGTATGTGCCATCATCAAACAAAACAAAAACATTGTACAAAAAAAGAAAAAGAAAAAAAAGACCACATGTCCTTCACACCTCTAAAACAAAACAAGCCCACAAATGATGAAAACAAAATAACACAACAATCTTCTCTCTCTAGGGTTTGAGCAAAAAAACAAAAACAAAAACAAAAAAGGAGAGAGAGAGGATTCCCAGTACTTCATTATATACTGTATATATACATATATTTTGTGACTTCATATTCTTACATACATATATTTGTATGTGTTGTTAGGGTTATGGAGGTCATTGCCAAGTCAGATAAGGATCCTGCAGTGCCAAAGAACTCTCGAATTGCTTAACAAGTCTGCAATGGTTTACTCAACAAGTGTGTGAAAGGAGGAGTTGGTGTGTATACAATAGTATGAGTAAAGGGTAAAATCGAATATTTATTGTGTAGATTAAGAAAAATTAATTAATAATCAAATTAATAAGTGTGTGTACTAAGAAATAATATATCTACTGAAGTATGTAAGTGTGTGGAAATAGAATTTTCACGCTAGGTTGGGTTGGGTATGATTGAAAAATGTAAGTTTGAAAAGGTTTTATCTCCGTTTGCTTTGATTTGGAGAGAGAAGATGTAAAGGAAAAAAGGGATTCCCTATGGTGTTGGTGTTAGTATTGGAGGGTGCTGTTGGGCTTTCGTGGCCCAATACGAAATTCGGATCGATGATCCAAATCATTTAATATATAGAATTTATCATGTATTTTATTTTTATAAAAAATTATATTGATTGTATATCAATAGTCACTTAATCAAATTATATTTGTATAAATAATTTATTTTAAAAATTATAGACACAAATATGATTTAATTAAGTTGTTATCGATATCTAATTATCGTGATTTTTTGTAAAAATTAAATACTTGATGAGGCTTAACAATTTGAATTATCGATATGAGTTTCGTGGTGGACTTATAAAGGCCCAACAGCAATTCCCCAATCAGATTTGAACTAGAGAGAAGTTATGGCCTTTTAGAAAATTGGTCCTAAGTTCTACAAAATTTAAAAGAATTTATTACAATTTTGTAAAATTTTATATAATAGTCCCCTCGATTTCATTTTATTATTTTATTATTCTATTTTTTTTCCTACCTATGTCCATTTTAAAGAATTAAAATTTAAAATTTAAAAGCTTTTAAAATTATTCATCATAAATAATTATAAATAGATTTATAAATTAAAATAAAATAAAATAAAATTAATTTTTTAAAATTTGAATTCAAGTGTAATGGTTAACTATCTCATTAAAAGGTTAGAATTTTTTTGAAAATGAAGACTATAAAAATGGGGCAGAGAGATTTGACATATAAATGAATATTAGCAATTGGTATAATTTTGTTAAGTTCGAGCTTATCAATTCTAAGTCCCCGTTTGGGATGAGTGTTTGAGTTAAAATAGACATATAGGACAAATAGGTTATTTTAGTCAAATAAGACAAAATGTCACATCCAATTCATAATCATTTTATTTTTTCTCTTACGCCAAAAAACCTATCTCAAACGAGACTTTTTAACCCCAAGCTAAAATAGTCGAAGAGTCAACACACATCCCAAACGAACCCTAAATAGTTAAATTGGCATTCGAAATTTACTGCAACTTCTACACTCTTGTTTTTAAGACAATCTTCAATTCAGAATTGTAACTGAAATTTTAAAATAGTAAATCAGATCAATAAATAATCAAAGTTAATAATAACGAGTTGTTTTGGGAAATAGGTTAAAAGTTAATTTTTTTGATTTTTTTTTGACTTTTTTTAAAAAATATGTAAAAAAGTAGAAAGATGATATTATCTAAAAGAGGTTAAGAGGCCAACACACTTGTTAATGTATATATTAAATTTAAATTTATACTTATCTTCTTGTATTATAGATATAGCTTATCTCTATCTCTCTCTATCTCTATCTCCTTCTATCTATATCTCTCTCTATCTCTATCTCCTTCTATATTTATCTAGGTTTGTGTTCAACCTATAAATACAGGCTCTTCTATTGTATTCAATTCAATTCATATAATACAAATGCACATTTTCTATATTTCTTTCAACTATTCTAACATGGTATCAGAGCACTAGGTTCTATACCTATAGCCTTTTTTTTGTGCTTAGTCTCGTATACAGTGGCACTACAACATTCATTCCATCATCCATACACTTTATTATCTTTGTTCCAGCATTGCTTCATCATTATTTTCAGACGATTCCAGTGGCCATAAACACAAACCTGTGACAACCATCGTCTTCGTCTCTTCCAGATGATTCCAGAGCCACCAACCACGCCCCAAAAGAAGGCTTTCACGCGTGCGTCCCTCTGCTACAATCGTTGCTGATGTCAGCCCTAAGCGCGCTAGCGTCATCACTACAGTACGCCGCATGCATCTACTGCTATCGTGCACCACGTATCCTCTTGCTAACATGCGCCGCGCATCTGTTGGCACCTCTGCTGTTATCGTGCGCCTTGCACTTTCTGCTAACGTGAGCCGCGCACCTGCTGACGTCATCCAACCCCTGCTGACGTTATCTCTGCACACCAGACCCTTTTCCCAGCTATTTTCGACTTTCCAAACTCACTGGTATGCTCTGTTTTGTTGATTTTTGCTCCTATAGCACTGTTTTTCTCTATTTTACTTCACCAAACCACCGTTATGGATCGTCATAATACTTCTTATCCAATCTCTAACTACGTGTTATGGGCCCAGGCCATGTTTGGTTTTTTGAAAGGGAAGAAACTCTGTCGCATTATCACTGGGGATGTGGTTCAACCAATGAAAGAGGTTCATGAAACAGCTGCCACATATGCAGATCATTTGGAGGACTGGGACAGTAAGAATTACCATATTATCACTTAGCTTCGGAATACTTCTGTTACCTCTATCAGTTTACAATTTGGTCATTTTCAACTTGATTCTGTTACTACTCTTGCCAAAGACATTTGGGATTTTTTGACAGAACATTATCAGACTACTAGTCTTGCTCATCAGTATCAGCTTTAAAGTCAACTTTATCGCTTGTGCCAAGAGCCTGGTCAGTCTGTTAATAATTTCCTTTCTCAGATATGTTCTGTTTGGGACCAGCTCGCTCTCTCTGAACCTGTCTGGCCTCATATTGAAGATGTTACTTTATTCACTCAATATTGTAATCACCAACGATTGGTTTTGTTTCTCATGGCTCTTACTACCCAGTTTGAGCCCATGTGTGCATCTCTGTTTTATCGCACTCCATTGCCCACTCTTGAGCTGGCTATTTCTAAGTTATTATTTGCGGAGACTCGTCTTGGCCCTCTGCAGACTCATCATGTGGATACAGTTCTTGTCATTCTCCAATCACTAAGTTCCTCTGCACCAACCACCTAGCGGCCCACTACTTGCAATTATTGTCAAAATTGAGGCCTTCATTCTACTCATCTTTTGCTTCATTGCCCAGTCAAATCCTGTTGGTACTGCAACAAGATTAGTCTTGGTCATCTGCAGCAAGATTATTTTCGCAATCCAGAGCACTCATCTACTACTCATGGGACTTTATCACAAGGTCGTTCACAACATCCCGGGAATCAATTTAGATCTCTGCCTGCTCATCGTACTACTGCTGATACCTCTGAGGAATTTTCTGAGCCTTTAGATCCAGCCGCTCCTGTCTTTTCCCAAACCGATGTTAAAGCCATATTTGAATAGTTTCTGACCACCTCTGATACACCTCCTTCTACTGCTTTGTCTATGACTTCAGGTACATCTCCCTGGTATTTTGACTCAACATGTTGCAATCATATGACTTCTAGTTCTACTCTATTTTTTTTCTATTTCTTCATCTTCTCCTATTCCCTTCATTCATGCTACGAATAGTTCTCTTATGTCTGTAAGTCATATTGGTTATATTTACACCTCTCATCTATCCTTATCAAATGTTTATCTTATTCATGTTCTCACTTTAAATCTTATTTCTATTAGTCAATTATGTGAGCTTGGTCTAACTGTCACATTTTCTACTAATGGTTGTTTGGTACAGGACCCTCAGATAGGATAACCTCTTGGGATCCGCCATAAG